TAAGTGACATATTAAATATGACAACATGTGTACTTGGGACATGGACTAAGCGTGCTCGTGTACATGCAATATGTTTTACCACAGTATGTCGACTAACGAGTCATAAATGTACATGATTTCGACTAAAACTTGACGGCAGTGACAGAATATATGACTGGTTTACGTGAAAGCAACTACGAAATGTTATCACGCATCATAAATATAGTACGAAATAATCTAATGAAATTATGAAACTCGCCTGGGTTACTCTTGCCTCTAAGTAATGAAGATATGAAGTAGGCAGTAGTTTGAATCTGGATTATGTACGAGGTACTGTTGATTAAATTTTTCGATTAACACAGCATTGTAAACTGACGAACAGTCGTGAATTTCTAGCATTCGTATCCTCTGTTTGGCCATGGAACTCAGCAATTGGAAATTAGGCAGGCAGTGGTAAGAAAAAGTAAAACATTCTAGTGGATAGTGGTTAAGCAGAAAGATGAATTTATAGTCGACAGTTAATCTTGTCTTATTTATACCAGTGGATAAGTTACAAACAGATGTGCGTTCGTGTTGCCTTGTGGCTATACTCACGAGTGGTTGATATTTTAACAGACATATTACACAGGAGCATTTACATGCTGCTAATGCTTGTTAAAGAACCACGATAGCCGATTATAATCATAGTTGATTGGTTAGTTCTGTCGATTGAACTAAGTATTTAAGTTTAAATACTAATCAACATTGACATGAAGCAACGAAAGTTCAGTGATAGATTAACATAGGCCATAATAAAAATGAAAAAGAATAAGTATAGAATGCAATGCTAAAGATTATAGTGATAGGTTGCGTTATTCGAAGTCTTGCTCACCAGTGTAGATCACCAACGTAGATGATCTATGTCGAAATGATTGGAGGCCTACTCGAGTTAGACGTGAATGGTGTGACGAACCAACTAACGTCGAAGTTACACCTCGTGGTCAGCACCTTACGTGGACTACCCCCATTGACGTAACAAGGTACTATAGATGCTTTGAAGACTGTACAACACAAAGGACGTTATTACAGAAATATATTAGTTAAAGTCGATACAAGCGAAAGTAAGACCACTGCCGCATGGGCCAGTCCATGGCGTATGATTAACTAATGCGCGTTTGTTGTACATGACCTTGGCAGGGAGCGACGATCTGTTCGACATTCAGTGATCCAACTGCCGGATGATTTGGCTAGGGCTCAGTAACATTTCACTGGCCCTACAACACAATGGTACAAAAAGAAAAATGAGACAAAACAACATGTTATATCCTGTCTTACATGCAATAGACGTTCATGTGTTCCAGAAATGCTACCCTTCTTCCAGAAAGCGTTGTTTTAATCCGGCTGTCAAATGCCAATGAATTTTTGTCGCGACTGTCGATTATCGGGTGAGGTATCGTAGTTGTGTCGTTCAGTTATGTTGTAGGAAAGTTAGCATTATTAGAATCTCCTTCTAAGTACGCGGCTTTGAGATGTTTGAAGCTGCTTCTATCGTTAATTCCGTTCTTATCGATGTTATGGTACTCAGTTTTACGATAAAGAAATTGGAGTGTCCTTTGTATGCCGTTTCAAGAGGTAATCTAAGTGAGTATAATATTTTGCAAGGCAGGTTGGCTTTGGCCAAGTGGAAGAAACTTTAGGTGAACACAAAATATACTGCTATGATGTTTGCTTGAACACCTGGATTAGAAAGCTTGTGCAACGTGTTGAAGACATTGAGTTGTTAGTTTCGGAACGATTGGACGACCCCTAACTGTAGATGCGTCACACAATATAGTTTCCTCACATGTTTCAATCTTTTCCAATTATAGTTTCAGGATCATTGGAATTATTCGTGCCGAAGATCAGTGTCTTTTTCCAGAGCTGAGCGAGTTTTAAATGTTGATTCCTTGGGAACTGTTAAATGGAGTTATACGAGACAAGGTGTCTGAGTCTGAATTGTTTGCCCCAGAAATGTATCGTATATTTTAAGTAAACTGAGAAATGTAGTATAGTCTTCGAGACTCTCGATGGGAGCACTTGTTTAAAGCTGAGCGTAAAACGAAGTTGAGACGTTTATGGTTGGTAAACAGAGTGAATTCTTGGCCTTCTACAGAGTGTTTAAAATGCCCTACAGCACAATACATAGCTAGAAGTTCCTTTTTGATAGTTCTATGCCATAACTGAATGTCTTGCAACCGTGTTTACCCATTGTTGTATGACTTTTGTGTTTGCCGAGTCGTATCTGTTTACGGCGATATCAATGGGTGGTGTGATTCTTTGGTGTGGGAGCATAACTGTTTTCGTGACAGGTCCTTTAACTGTGGAGAATGCTTGTTTCGTGTTGTCGTCCAAACTGATGAGTTTTGCATTTTCACGAAGTTGATTAGGTCTCATAAGAGACACGCTGTTCGGTATGGACTGTCATTGGACATACCTAATTTCCTGACTGCAGTCGGTTCTGAGTAATTTAGGATGGCTGCCACTCTTCAAAGGTTGGATGTCTTGAGCATCAAGAGCATGTCCAACAAAATCGATTCCAATCTGACATTTCTGAACGTTTACAGTCATGCCGTGTTTTGCAGTCGTTAAACACAACAGCGTAACTTTTGTGCTATCAAAAAGTTGAGTCCAATCTCACAGCAGGGTGGGAAATGGGCTGTAATCTTGATAACTGCCCAATATATCCCCTAGCTGAATGCCTCTTTAATGACTTTAAGTCTGACTAGCACACTAATAAAACAATTCAGACTTGAACTCTGTAGTATGGTTTCGTACTTTAAGTCTGGACCACTGAAAATACTGTATAAATTGCAGTTACAGCCAGCCTTGAGTGTTCTTCAAGACTAAGTTGGTCAACTATGCAAATCTCTGGAAACTGTTTCTCAAGCCATAAAACTGAGAATAAAGATGGGATTGGTGGCTTTTAAGATCCTTGTGTATTTCCGAATATTCTAATTTTTCTTACTCTCTATCGACTGACACTGGAAGTAACAAAATACTAATCAAGGTGTTTGAATGTTCTTTTTTCAGTTATCGTGTTTCGGTTTCATCAACTCGCGCTTCAGTATAATAATTAGAAGCATTCGAATTAATTTACTAACTAGGAATTCCCGAAATAGTGCAATTTACAGTTAATAGAACTTGATGAGTACAAATGAAAGTAATATATTTGGAATTCATAATCACCTGGGCATCAAGTACAAGGGAATCACTAATTCGTACAAATACCATGTTCACTTATGTTCATTATCTCCGACTCCATGAACAATGACAAATAAATTGGACATGGAATCAAATAGCAATGTTTGTGGATGAATATTTAAGTAATTGGGCTAAATGAAATTACAATAGTAATAAATAGAATCAAGTTAAAACTGAAATGAATAGATACATTTGGATCGAAGTAAAAGTAGTGTTGGATTAAGATTAGAATTAGACATTGTTGTAAATGTATTGAACTTATTTCGATAATGCCAATAGAGTATCCAGAAGTTGTGTTATAGTAAAACAAATCCAGGGTAACATGTGTTAGATCTGAACTTCACTGTTTTGAAATGAGTTATGAGTCTCACTTGGTCATCGTGTCTCAAATATTCACAGATTATCACAAGAACGTTATGTAATGTACAGATGAATAGGTGAACAGGAAAACGAACAAATGTAAATTATGAGGATACGCATATGGAGTACTCGAATTAACCACTGAATATCGTATGAGTGACCTAACAGAATTGGTTGAATGCATTTTGTAGACATTTTCTAGGTTAGATCATCCATTCCGAAACGAGTATATAAATATATCTATTTGACATATTTGCAATAAATGTCAGTTTTGTGGTCAGGATATTTCGCTATGTCTCCAATTTTAGCCAGCTCATTTCTGGTATCGCAATCCCTGTTGTTTCTCAGTGTCGTTTTTCAATCTTCAATATGTACAGTATCATTTCTCCGTTCATCCAGTGATTAAAAGCTTCACATATAAAGATAAATTTCAAGATTTCATTTCATACCCTTACGTTTTCTCTTCTCAATTTTCTCATGGTTAACCTTACGCTTTGCTCTCATTTTGAATGGGTGGATCAGCTTTTAATCAATAAAACCTAGCTTAGCTACTTGAAACCAACGTATAAACATTTTTCTCACTTTTTTTAAGGAAGGACCCATTATTGTAGTGGATTGTGTACACATTGTTTAACTATGAGTTTAAAACCTACAAGTTCATCTTTAGTGTCACTCAAAAAATACTGTGTAGTTTTTTTTCAAACACTTTATAACTTTGGCAGAAGACAGGAAAAATGAAGTCTTCATTTCAAAAGTCAAATGTGCATACATATTCGTTCTTTAAACAGATGAATTGGTCAACCAGATATTCAGCAAAACAGTATGAATTAGATTTTAGAAATTGAACGTGAACAACTACAGGTAATACAATGAGAAGACAAAGTTTGTCATATGGTTTTGATTAACGATGTCTTTTCATTGCATTTTTTAAATATATTAAAAAGATTGTAAAAACGGTCAATACAAAACCTGATCTGTAAAAAAAATCTTGTTATTATTCACGTTTTTTTAATAATTAAAATTATGCGATCGTTGTTATTGAACATAAATTGTTGTTAAATTTGGGATTGAATTAACACTGCTCATATGTTACATTAATTAACTATGAGAAAATGCACCATGTCATATATTACTTCTCGTCCCTACTCATTTCCCTTTCATATTAACAGGTTTCTAATTTCCTTTTTGTATAAACTTATGGATTGTGATTGTCAACATTACATGGTTATCATACAACTTCATCTTGGATCATATTCCTCAGTTTAGAATTACCGATTATCTCTAATAATAGCAGAGTTATTTTCGGACTGATTAATCACGAAGCCACCAACAACTCACAAGTAACTCCAGTTATATATATATATAGTCTCTTTACCCTATCATTACATTTTATAAGTTGAGTTTTGCATAAAATGTTTACTGATTAAGTAACTGTTAAAAGACACCACTTTTGTATTCCTTGAAATATTATTTCCCCAACACTAAGTACTTATAAACCTCATTATACTTCTTGAATTCAGTCTTAGTAGAAATTCTGATCACTGAAATTGTTCGAATCTATTGAGTATTGTAATATTTATTTGAAATACTTCAAGATCATATAATTAAACTTGACAAAGAATCACTGATAAACAATTTAATGTTCAATAATGACATAAATCAGAACTCTGAACTGTTCAAAAGTTATATGAATTAGACGATTTACTATAAAGAAGTAAACGAAAGAAATCTTTGATAGCCCTATTATTAATTTCTGAAATGAATGGATGAAAAAGTATAAGGTAATTATCAACAATATAAAATTATTTCTAACATACATGAATAGTTTATTTAATTGCTAAAAACATATGAAAAAGAGAATAAAATGAATTACATAACATACATAGACATTCATAGAAAATAGTCAATCATCAATTTGACACATAAAACAGTCAACATTGTTTTCATGAATGATTAATTCATTCACACCAGTAACTAACTATTAGACGGAATAAAAAGAAGACAAAAAGAAAACAATGAAAATGAATGATTATTTCTACAAAAAAATAAACCTGCAAGGTAAGTATATAAGTAAGTAAGTAAGTAGAAAGTGGATCATGTGTATGTAATTTTAATGAATGTACTTACTTATTATATAAACAAGAATTAACCATAATATTTGCAAAATTAATGAAAAATCAATGAAGAATAAAGTTAAATTTATAAATAGTATTAGATTAACTTCAAATATAAGATGGTTTACATAAATTACTTTTCTGTAATATAAGAATACTCAAAAGATAACTGTACATAGTGAAAGAATAAATAAGCATAAAACATAATCAAATAAACTATAAATTAAAACTACATACAAATAACATGAAATTAAAATGTGTTTACTTGTTTCTTCTTATTTTGATCAACAAACTAGAAGAATATGAATACTTTAGACTATATATGCATATGAAAACAGGTAAGAAGAAGAAGAAGAAGAAGAAGTGAAGTCATTGAGTAGGGTAGGAAAAAAAGAGTATGTGTATGTGTAAGGCTGAGCCTAGTTCATTTATCATTCGTTATAGAAAAGAAACAATGAATAAAAAGGTTGAATAGACTGAAATTATTTATTTTTATAAATACACTAATTTTATATTACGAACTAATTGTTGATTTTGTTTGAAATTAAAGTTTGTGTATTGAAAATTGTCGTATATGTATATGTATTTAATGAAATTATTGAAGTGTATAAATTACACTGTGAAAGACAATAAACTGTTATTATTTTTTGTAAAACCTAAAAAAATGCATCAACTGGAGACAGTATATTTATTGAAATATGAATATCATTCTTGATAATAAATATGATTCATAACTATGAAATTGTATTCTATGGTAACTAGAAATATGTCTGTTGATTAATAATAGAGAGAAAGGAAGAGAAATACAAAATTAGCATAATTTTAAAGAAGGTTATACTTTAAGTTTTACAACAAACAATTCACTAAGTAACAGAAATGTACATTTATATATTAAAATCGAATTAAATTATTTATTAGAATAGTCAATCGATCAGTAAGTGAGTTTATCTTAATCAGTTAATAATAAAATTAAAAATGTAATTGATGAATATATTTATAGGGTAACACATACCTCAACTATTAGTTCATTTATTCGACTATGATCAGAACAGTCGATGTATGAGTCAAGGGTACGTGTAACTAGATTTAAATCTTGAAAATATAAGCTGAAAATTGAGTTATTTAACTAATAAGTCAACTGTTGACTGACTAATAGGATCAAATTTACTTCAAAAACTATAATCACTTAGAAGATTAGAAATCATATTAACGCAAAACTGAATGGTATAACAAAGTAAACTTAGAAATTTTTATCAAAAGATTTATTGTTGTTTGTTTTTAAGACACAGTGAGCAAACATCTAATGAAGCAATAAAATAAACCAATAGAATCATTAAAAACAAAAAAAATTTCGGAGTAAAAAACTTTCTATTCAATGATATCATCTAAGAAAACCTAACAGTCATATTTATATTTATTTTTTACTCATAGTGATCTGTAATAAAATATGGAGTTTTTGCGTCATTATTAGAGATACCAAAGTCATTTAAAAGTAAACACGATTTGATAAATACTTATGGAAAGTGAATTTCCTGCCAGGCCCATTGACTACGAAGCTAAAATACTAAATTTCAAGAACCACTACATTGAGTTCAAAGATGATATGGTTCCAAAGATCGCAAGACACCGACTATCGAAATATTCAAAGAAGAGGTTTTAGTCAGACGAGTTGAGAGTTTTATTTTCCAGCTGATTCTTGGTTTGAGATGAATTTCCGCTCAAGGCCACATCACTCTGCATCTTTTAGTTCACTTGCCCCTATGGAGCATATCATACTGACCAAATGATGTATTTTTTACAAACCCATATTCGAACACAATCAGGTATGGTCATTAAACGGCAAAAAATTCATTTAACATCCCAATTGTAGAACATCTAGTTTCTAAAGAATCCTAACAATTGCATAGAATTAGAGCATATCAAAAAGCAACTAACACCTCTTGAAATGATTTAGTTAGCACAAAAACACGAACTCTTCTTTCAGTCAACAAAAAAACTGAGTCTACGTAGTAGGTTGTATTGCTTGTGATTCCTCCTTATTTGGAGAGTAATGGAATCCAAACTCCAGCTAAATGACATCTAATTTACACAAAAACACTACCTGATAATCCAGTGGAACTTAAAAAAACCCAATTTAAATCAGCAACAGCAGGTCATGGTAACTTCAATTAACATGAGATATTAATATCGATATTACAAATATCGAAATGATTCATAGACGCCTTCTTACTATAATGAAAGGCGAGTGGCTCAAGCCTTCATTATATTGTTAAATCCTACTGCCCATAATCGAAAAAAAATGCCTTACCATACATCCAACTTGGACCACTTATCCAAGCTACCGTAACTAATTCTATTCACATCTTACACCATTACCACGTATACAAATTTAACATTACGTTATCAAATGACAAATATCACATTTTTACCCTGACCAGAGTGACATGACATTAGTTTAATCAGACTTGGTTTGAACTTGTGTTAATTTATTTGGTTTATTTATTTACTCTCTCTGAAGAAATACGATACACCGAGTCACTGAATATTAGAACTTTCATTTAACTACTGTAAGGATTCAAAGTTCTTTCTTAAAAATTATTATTCATGAATATAATCATATATGTTTGAGAATAAAATAAAAACACCTTCACAGTATGATCATCAAAAAGATTGCAATAATTTGTTTTTTTTTAAAAATTATATCCTAACATTATATCTGTACTTGATTGTTAAATATTATTATAAACAAACTATTTAGATAGTTTTGTTTATTTTTAAAGTTATGATACACTATAGTCTCAGTTGTCATGATTTCTCATCTAATCAATTAGGTGGTGAAATTTTTGGAATAATGACATGAAATTGTCAACATTAACTTATTATAAACTAGATCTTTGATATTTCAGTTGTTCATATTATATCAGTTCAATGAAATTCAATTTCATTAACTGTTATTGAACTGAGCTGTCTTCATTTCTTACATTTAAGATATTCCCATGAAAGGTTTGTAAATCGAAGAGATTATTTTTAGTCTTCTGAAAACCTCTATACTTTATAGAGTAAAGTCATTAAAATTTTTACTTACTTCTTTTTTATTTGATAAAAGGGATTCACGTCTTGCAGCTACAAATATTTTACGAGCTGTATTCAAATCTTCAACTGATGGCGTATTACTTGTTGTCATATCTTTATGCTAGATAAAAGAAATAAGATAATGACATGTAGATTGACTTAGGGAATATGCTAAAATACATTTAAGTCAAATTAATCAGAATTATTTAGTGTGAAAATGTCATTAAACCTAAAACAAAATAAGCATTATCACTTAGTCTATTTAAACAAATGATAATATACTAAAACAGAATCACGAGGTGATCTTTACTCCACACAGCCCTTCACCTACTAGATAGTAATCATAAATAATCTAGAAAGGTGTAAACTATCATTAGGATAAAGAGAGATTACATTTCAAAATCCAAAATTCTACTATACTGAATGGAGAATGAATTTTAGGATCACATTTCATTTGTAAAAAAACCTACGATTAAAAGAGAGTAAAGATTGCAGATACCATTGTGGCTGTCATCACTTCGTCTTCTTTTTTGAAATTATTATCGAAATGAAAGAACTAGGAAAAGTAAACTCACTATATACTCTAATAAATGTTTGTTAAGATTATTTTGGATACATTTATTTGATAAAAAACAACGTAAATGCTGTTGAATACATCCAAAGTAAACGCAAACATTACTAATCATAATTATGAAAATATTCTCGGTTAAGTACTGGGAGCAAAAGATATAAATGGTGAAAGGGTATTTGTTATTTTTAGTGAATTTTGAACGATAAAGTCGGTTTATATATATATGATTAAAAGTGATAGATTTGGTTGAAAGAAACATTAAATTAAAATGAGCATTTCAATCAAAGTTTTTATTGCCAAAGTGTGAAATATCCCTGATGATTTGCATCACAAACTAAAATTAAATAGGTATTTTATCCTTATATGGAACTTTTCAGAAGTGCGTATCTCCGACCCCACCGAGGATGGAATCCAGGACTATCAGGTTCATTATCGAACACTTAATTATTGGTACTTTATATTCAATGAGCTTCCTCTATACATAGTATTTGTCATAATACTAAACTATTATCATTTTCTCAACCTCTTCATTTATCATAACTTGATTATTATATGAAATTTGGATTTCATTTCAACGTCTGTTTCAGTCAAAATATTGGGAAATTTCTTAACTGTCTGAGATCTAACTTTACGAATAATTTTGTTCTGCTACAACTTTATACGAATTGCTAGAAATTAATAAATTGTTTGCTTTAAAACTTTTACCAATGAACTTTAGAATATACAATCGAACAGTACAATAAAAGTAAGTAAAACTTCTATTTCAGAAGTGTCCTCATGAAGACCATCGAATGCATTTAATGATACGTACCGATTGAGTTTACAAGAACATTTTTTGAACAACAATAAGAATAATCTTCAAGAGTTTAACAACAAACATTTTTATGCCACAAAATGAGTTACACTATGACATATGGTCATTTTGTAGCCTATTTAATAGACTATGTTATGCCTGTCATTTATTTTGTCTGAAGACATGCTTCACTGACTTGTGCCAGGTAATATAAACTTCGAATCCGAAGAAGTATAGCGAAAAAATAGACAACTGATATGGGTTTATTTGACTGCAGAAATAGATCAAATAATATATGCATAGACTACTTTTTATATGATAAATGTATAGTCAGATTATTACGCTGTTTTTAACAATTTGATTGAGTAGTATTTGGTATCAGCAAACCTGTTACCTACTGTCTGAATACATATTTGCAATATTATAATGGTTGATAGTAAATATATTTTTTTATTATGTCCTAATGAGTAGAAAATTGTTTTCTTGAAGTTTTATATCTTAATGTTAGCCACTTCTTAAGAGTGAATAAATAACCGAATTAAATTAACACAAGTTTAAATGGCACATAAGAAACAATGCAGAATATTTTTAGTACAATCAAAATCATAGTCATAATGGTTGACTTTCACCCTGATTTGATTTTTCCTTTATGTCCCGTCACATCAGGTTGTACTCGCAAATCTATATTTTGTGAAATGTTTATTCTACAACTACAGTATACATAGTTTTCTGCTATTTTCCTGTAATTTACATTGTACTATGTTTTTTCTACACTTACCTTAGAAACACCTGAGTAATTTGTTTAATAAAAAGTTAGAACCAAAGTTATCTATGTGACTGTGTAGTTTGAACAACTTTACATTACCTATTCCTTTAAAAATTCTTAAAGATTTACGCACTGACATGTGAAGGTGGATAATTTCGACAGGTCGGTGGGGTTGTTATTGGTAGTCCGTTAGTTGCATTATTAACTAACGTGTTTATAGTGCATATTGAAAATCTATCTGAAGATCTAATCGAAAACATGTCCCTTTATAACGGGTATGTGGATGACATCTTAGTTATCTGTCAAAGAACGGAGAACGTGAAATATATAAAGAGTAAACCTAACACTGAATAAAAATAAAGAGAATTCAGTGAAGGAATTTTTCCTTTCGACGAAGTCACTTACTTAAGCTGTACATTGGTATTTATAGTTGTATGGTAAATATATGTGCATCGCAACCGATGAGATTGATATAACACTCAATGTAATGTCTAATGATAATAACTGAAGACAGCAAATGTCTTGACTTACTTGAGTTGAATCAGATGAACGATAATTTCCTGAGTTTAAAAATCCTAACATATTACCGGCCAAATTAATCAGTTTGCCAGATTCTGGATCATAATTTGCTTTTGAAGAATCATTATGTACATCGATCACATGATTTATGTTTGCCATATTTCTAAAACAGAATAGTTTTTGACAGTAACACCAATAAGTTAATAGGAAGGAAAGTGTTATTTGAAAATACCGAAGGTCAGTATATGAATGAATAATTTCCTATAGTTTTACAATAGTTTATGTATATGCTACTAGAGTTGTTTTATGAATCAGGATTCGTAAACGTTTATGGCCACAATATCATTTGTGCTGTATGTGGGGATAATCACAATTTACTCTATGAATCCTGAGTGATTTAACCTCAAAATGAAGTCATTTTTTTAAAGGTATTTATAAGTATCATTAGTTTTGGAATTTCCCACAGATCATCTATCTTGTTTGTCCTGGTACTATAATATAGCTACAACTTATCAAATAATAACAGTCATTAAATAATAAGTTAACTCCTACTGGTAAGATTGATATTAATTAACCAATGAGAAATATCCATATCCTTGTTTTAAAACGAAGAGTTAACTCCTGTTGGTATAAATTATCTCCCAAAGCTTAGGAATCATCATTTTCTATGTTTTGTTCTATGTTTTACATTTCTTCAAACGAAAAATACATCAACGTTTATTTAGGTGAATAGCAGAGATCAGTCCAGTTTTTATATAGTCTTGTTCATTAATTTACATCAATCAACTAGAAAATAATCATATGAGCCGTATTAACTGGCTAGAACATGGATTTACTGAAGTTATAATAATAGTCATCAAACAACGAAGGTAACCAAGTTTGAAGCGAAACACAAAAAGTATTGATAGAACTAGATGAATATGGTTTTAAAGTATCTTTCTGGTTGTATGACCTATAGATTTAAAGTTTGATGCAGAGAATAATCATTATTGGAGATTATAAATAAAAATAATATATTTGTAATATCCTAATGAGCGGAAAATTGGATTTTCTACTCATTGGGATATTAGAAATATATTATTTTTATTTATAACAATCAACCCAATGCTCAATTTATTCGAAATTATCAAATCAAACCTTGGTAATGACACATATTATTGGAGATTGTTTAGACCTACTGAGAGATATGATGAAATAACTATCTATTGGTTTGCTTTTAATTTTCAACAATTCACTTATTGTACTCATTCAATGAAGAAAGAACTGTCTACAAATATGTTATACTCATTCAACATTTCACCAAAAATAAAAATTTGTTCACAATAAAATATTCATCATACCAACTTTTAGTATTTCCACTTTTCCAACAACAATTATCTCTCTCATTCTCTTACATACTATTTACACAAATATACATGCGATTTGGAATACATAACCAAAGCAAAAAAATGTTGTTTTTTTTTCTCTTTACAAATCACATTATTAAAAACTAGGCAAATTAGTAAAAATAAAATTTTAATTACTTATAATAACTAATCGATAATAAATTGTTACTATGCTAAAAATGATGATAATAATAATAATAATTTTATTACTGTAGGAAACTATTGGCTCTAAGTAAATAATCTAATTTTTCTGGTGTAAACATATGACCAGAACAAAATAAACTTGAATCCCATTGATAAGATGGATGTGAATTAATTTTGTAATTATTATTACTAATAAAATTGGTATTTTGCATTTGGAATTCAACATTATTATTATTATTATTATTGTTTATTGAATATTGACAGAATGATAATTTTGGATTTGTAGAATTTTGTTTAATTTCTTTTGATATTAATTGATATTTAGGCTTTAAAATAATTTTTTTCAATGGTCTATGTTTATCATCATCATCATCATCATCACATATGGAATGATTTGAATGAATTCGCTTTTTTAGAATATATTTATTATTATTTATTGAATTCATTGTATTCTGATGAGTATTTTGAATAGATTGTAAATAATGATTTGTTGATTTATTATAGGATTGATTGTGTACAAGTGATTGACTATTTGAATGTTTTAATTTCTTTTGAATAGATGATGATATAATTAATGGCATGCTAAAGCAAATTAAAACAATATACAATAAAACAAAATTATAAATTGTTTACATGCGATAGATTATTTGATATTATTAGTGTTTTTATCTTTGATTTAAAGATTAGTGAAGATGGATGGACCAGGGAATACTAGAAAGATAGAAATCTTCAATAAAGCATTCACAAACTTGACAAGGATCTAATTTAAGAACTGTTGTTTTTACATGTCACTGGGTAAAAGTAAAATAGACTGACGCTTTCGGGTGACTTATTAGCCACTCAAGAAAAGCTGAATAGTTATAAAAGAATGAACAATAAAAAGTGGTAAAATAATGGTGGAATAACTTTCCGGATCTGAGTAATCATTCCTCACATGATAAATTATACCTTATAGTAAAGGAAAAACATCAACTTTACATATTACAAGTCGGGCCAGTATTCTGAATTAAGGTTATCACCCCATAGAGTTTTCATCACTATATGTCATCAGTTAAAAACGCAGAAAGGCTTTAGCTAGGTATTAAGAGTAAGGCTATAGTTTTGCGTTGAGTTTACAAATCAGGGTTGTGGTTCATATTATGAACTGATATCAGTTATAATGCAATTTTTTGACGTTCTTCTGTTTAAAAATTAAAAAAACCTAGCGGTTGATATTTGGAGAAAAACTTAGGACGAGAGGATATTATATAGCTTCACTAAACACTCTTGACTACTCAATGAATTACACTAAGCACTTTAACATGTTATCTGCTCTAGGAGTAGGTATGTTTTATCATTAAGCTTATGTACTCTCCTAAATGTCCATTTTGATTGCATAATAGATATCTTTGTTTATTCCAAACATCTCAAGAATCAATTATTGTCAATTTTTATCTAATTAATAACAATGTACAAGTGATCTATCACTGAACTTCAAATTTCATACAAAACAAATGAAAAGTTATCTTTATTCTGATTACTTATTTCAAGGTTGTTGATATATCATACTTTTACCGGATACTGAGTTGCTCTCGAATATTAATATAACTAAAATAACTACATTTAAATCTATTCATGTAACAAGAACATTTTATGATGGCCATTATATAGTAGAATAAGCAGATTCTGTTTATTAGTTAACCAGTTGAATAAGAAGCATGAATTATGTGATAAATACTATTTTTATTATTGTTCATGATTTCAACTATCACCAAGCTAACAGCATGCACAACTGAAATGCACGTAGAAATTATCAAGAGACATCACTAGTTCACATGCAAGAAAGAAAAATTAGATTAAACTGTTTCATATTTAATAAAAACAACTTTCAACAAGAACCCACAGCATGCAGTGCATTTACTAAAGTGTGGACATTATGAAGAAATTTCAGATCAGTTAGTTCATTAGACCACTAAAGTATATTCCATCTTTCAAACAATAAGAACAACATTCTACAAGTCCTTAGTGCAGTTTTTAGTATATTAATTTATAACTTAACGATAGTTCACATCAAGGAATCTTTATCGAGAAGAATGAATATAGAGAAAAGTTAATAGATCGGGTATCCAGTTTATTTTGAATACTTAATGAACTGTATTCCTTGGAAATGGCAGATCACCAAGAAACATTCGTCGTAAGACTTTTGAGGCATTCCAAGCACAATGTGATCCTTAACACTAGCAACATTACGAAAAACTTCAGAGACACGCTACTATCTCCAAAGTCGGATACTGCTATGGAACAAAGTTTCACTTTACAAGTAGTATGTGGTTTTGGTAAAAAGGATGCTTAACAATGGATAAAGTAGTTCATCGACAGATAATATGTACAAAACAATCAAGTTCACAAGAAGTTGAATATAACTTGAATAGATGCTAAATTCTTTAAAACTCAAAAGCAGTAAACATTTTTTTACCTAGCTTCAACGTCTTTTCTCTCTTTTTCCATAAGTGCAACAACAGCTGGGTGAGCAGTTTTACCTGCTTGTGCATTTAAAAACATGTCATTCCATATTCCCATCCCATTCTTTAAATTATTTCCTGCAATATCATACATTCCGTTAACTTGCTGAGTATTAATGTCTCGACGACCCGAAGGACGTTTACTACTTCTACGTCTAGTCCATTCACTTAAAGTTCGGCCAAAAATTCCACCTGACGTATCACGCTTTAAGAATGAAAAATGAAACAAATATATATATAACTTGTAGCAACCTTTTGTATTTAGGAAATACTCAATTAATTAAGTAGTAAAGACAGAAACCATTGCTTTTATTGAATAAAGGATAGTATTTTAAAAATTGAAATGGAGAGTGTTTCTAGAATTGTGGCATTTTTTGAATATTGCACTTATTATTTAAAAGTAGAAATATCAGTTTTCGTTAATTTTGACAAAAATTAATATGAAATCACTACACAAACTTAGTTACAAACTGTTTCCATAGATACTGTTTTTCAGCAAACTATAGACATTGTACTCATAGTTTGAATCAAGAACTTTAAGTCAAAGTTTTAAAACTCATTCAAACTATACAACAAATGTTTGGTGTTAGAAAGTTGCAACAGGTCTTCAAAGTTTAGGATCTAGGTTTTTTGTCAATTAATGCACGTCAGAAGCATGTATAACCATTCATGAAAAAGCTTATACTTCAAGTCAAAAGTGAGCTCGTATCACACCTTATCGCAGTCAGAAGCAATGCCACTGAGCTATTCCGTCTGGGACTAAACCTCTGTAAGACCAAGATATTTGTATTAACTTATCAAGAGGTTATAACTAATAGGCCGGCTCAGTCATCTAAAAGATATGTGTTCGCGCACAAAACCGATAGGTCCTGGGTTTGAATCTTACGAGGCGGGATCGTGGATGCGCAGCGTTGGGGAGTTTTACAATAAGACGAAACGGCCGTTCAGTGCTTCCAAGCTTTCCATAGGGGTCTAGCTTCAATTTACTCATGATCTCAACTATTGAAGTTACTGTAATATCCACAAAATTACTTTTGATACTAATATCATTTATGCCTATCAGTCATTGTAAATTTAATTCTACTGATCACGTTTCAGTGTGCTCACTATTTTAAGTCACTAGCTATCAATTTCTTTGACACTGTAGATAGGTCTTCTTAATGAGTATTAACTAGTATGAAACCTAGGTACAGTTCTCTCCTCTAGACAACACAATGAAATCGGACAACAGATTCGAGTCACTTAGTCTAGTCGGCCACATTACAACTTAATCAGTAAAATTCTATTGAAACAAAAAAGAGGACATGACATACTGTGTTACTGAGTAATCAGTTAGTCTGTTTTAAAGATATATTCTGATACTCTGATTTTCTCCCACCATTAAAGACTACATATAAGGATACCCACTTATTTATTTCAAAAAATATACTTAGTGGGTTTATGAAAATATTTTACGAGCAATACAAAGAAAATTATTTATTATCCATTACCTTCGTTTTCCAAAGGCAAAACATTATTTGGGGTTGTGACTTTTATTAGATTTATAAACTCTGTTGTGAAGATATAAATACCACACATACCTTATCCACGCCACGTCTGCGCTGAATCTCATCACCAGTGAGATCTGAAGAACAACGCCTGGGAAATCCAATTATTGTAGGTTGATGTGGCATTGCACGGTCACCGGCCTGTCAACATAAATAGTTATATTATACGTTATGCATTTTTAGAAAGCGTTTTCACCAAATATTCCTAGTTCCCAATTCACTATGATCATCAATTTTCGGGATGAATTTCAAAACGGTAGTGGTTCTCATCCTAGCTTATCGAAATTGGTTTCCTTATGAATTGAAATATTACAAATTCACTAGTGGAAATTAATGATTAAATAATAAATGGATCATTACCATCCCTTTACTCCATAATATTTCTTTATCCTGTTATACTGTATAGATATTAGCTGAGAAGCTTTTTAACATGTGCTTGATTTTTTTATTAGAAATAAAGATGAATGAAATCCATCAACTAAGTTTTTGAACAATATGTTAAATCCAACTAACTATCAACCCCATTCAATATTACAGTTATTAAATTTGTGTTGGATTATCATTGCAGAAGTATATTTTCCTACCTCGTTGGTCAGTATACACGCTTATGAAATTAATCATACTAAATGACTAAAGTTGATAGGCCATTTTTAGCATTAAAAACAAGCTATAAGATCAATAACAGACTCAATTTTAAAACAAAATCTACAAATTCAGTGAAAGCAACAACGAAAAATGAATGGATGTAGTTAATTATTGTGAATCATACCATTATTTGTGGAATATATCGTGTATCTTTTTGTATCATTTTACGTTTCTGCCATTCACGAAACCAATTTTGAATAAGAAATGTGGCATAGAATTTGCCTACTGTGACAACATCACTACCTATATGTAACAGTAACAAAAATAAATGAGTTTTATGTTTTTTTTAAAGGTATTTATTGCAAAAACTATTGAACTCTAGCAATTGATTATGGATTCTGGCCACATAAGAAATCATTTTAAAGAGAGCAAGAACGAAGAATGGTGCAGAATAATATGAATTCATTTTATTTCGTTGGGTTCTCATCAGCTGCTTACAACCTATAATATTTGAAAATCAACATTATTAATGATATTGACATATTTATAAATATGACGGTGATTAGAAGTGAATATGTGTATCATGATGTAGCTAAGATTCCGACAAAATTAATATGGTAAATAAAAAACCTATTTTCATTCAACTCGAATTCAAAGGTGATAATGTCACAGGGTCAATCAATATGAGACTAAAAATCAATGACAAGAACCTATCCTGCAGCTATATTGATTGTTCTGTCAAAAACAACATGTTCTTTAACACAATCAAAGATCGATAGGTATCACTTTCATGTTACCACCAACTATGTATAAGAATTTACATGTATGTGTCAGAGCAGTTACACTGGTAGAACAGAAAGGAGAGCCTACGTATGATTCAAAGAACACATTGCGAAAAGTTTAAGGTCAAGTGGGTTGAAAGTACTCAATAGTGTCATCCCAAAACATCTTGACACAGGACATGAATTCGATACACTGAAATCTTTCAAGGCGATTAACAAAGAACCAAACTTCAACCTTTTGAAATTTTTCGAAGCGGCAGTGATCAAATATCTAAATCCAGATCTATGTATCCAAAAAGAAGCAGTAATAAATCTTACTTTGCTCCGGTAACAATACACTTCTTTTTCTTTATGACATCATTCATTATTCCAACTGTTTCTGAAGTTTAATTATATCACTGTCATTTTTCTTGAATTCATAGCTGACTGATTTCAATTCATATCTTTCTATTTTACCATTATTCTATTTTCAGTTGCTCCATTACACAATCATCTAATGTTCGTTAACTCCATGAGTTCTTATCATTATTTCAATATTCTGGAACATTCCCTCCCAAAATTTATTTATTCCAAACAAGATTTTTTATGACATTAACTGTATCAGGATCTTAGCTACATCATGACACACATATTCACTTCTAATCATCCTCATATTTATAAATATGCCAATATCATTAATAATGATGATTTTCAAATATTATAGGTTGTAAGCAGCTGATGAGAACCTAACGAAATAAAATGAATTCATATTATTCTGCACCAATCTTTGTTCTTGCTCTCTTCAAGATAATAAATAGAATTATGTGCATAAGAAATTATCAATTCACAATTATAAGAACAGGTTTTGCCACTCTAAATAAAAGATGAGTAATTTTTAGGCAACTTACAATGAGTAAAATATAAGGGATCTGATAGCAAAACATCATAGATATACCGGACCTCACTTTGAACAAGAACGACAGAAATAACGAGTAAAGCTGTCTTTTGAGAAACATGATTCAATTAATGTGTAAATTGATTTTTTAAGAAAACTATGTTAATAAATAAATATGAAATATTCCCATATTGTAAATTTAGAACAATGGGTTCGCCAATAGGTCCCATCCTTGCGGATTTTTTTCTGGCGAAACTAGAAAACGGACCTCTCAAGGAGGTTATCAATAAACTGGATTTCTACTGTCGTTACGTTGATGACACCTTCATCATTGCCGATCAAAACCTTAGAAAAGAACAACTACTGGAACTATTTAATAACATCCTGCTATTAAATTTACATGTGAGGAGGAAATAGATAACAAACTAAATTTTCTGGACGTTTTGTTAAGTAGAAAAGAAGATGGTTCTATCAGCAGGGGTGTGCATAGGAAAAGTTCTTCGCCAAGCCAATACACACATTTTTTAAGCTTTGTGCCTCTTCATTATAAGAGAAACTTAGTCAAGTGCCTTGCAAATAGAGCTCTTAAGATATGCTCAGTCGACACTATCGATAGAGAATTACAACACATTCATAATATTTTGATTGAATTAGGATATCCACTGGGTTTCCTGAAGAAACACTTGCGCGTAAAAAACAGAAAAATAGTGACCCTGACGGCTAATAAGAAACCACTTTTCTTGAAACTGCAATTCAATGGTGATCTGGCTAGCGATGTATTACGAGATAGATTGACTAAATCAGTAAAGAGAACGTTTAATGCTGCCAACCTCTGCCTATCGTATTCGACCCGATCGATGGTGATTCCGCAATTGAAGGATAAGTTACCTGGTTATGCCACTTCTATGTGTATCTACGAATTCAGCTGCTCCTGTGGAGAAAGCTATATCGGGCGCACTACCAGGCAACTGAACCAACGAGTTAGTGAACACCTCCATTCGTGGTTAGGAAAAGGCTATGTCAAAACAATACGCAGCTCGGTTCTATCACACTTGATCGATAGCGGTCATATAGTGGACAGAAACAAGTCGTTCAAAGTTATTTATCGGATTCCCACCAGTTTTCCTTATGGTGTTCGATCTCGTCTCTTACACATAGCAGAAGCTATAGGAATCCGAGCCAACAAGCCAAGTCTTTGTGTCCAGAAGAAATTTGTAACTCCCTTATCTCTCCCTTGGCCTTAAGTAATAAATGAATGTATTTATTTTCAGAATGGGTTTTGTGGATGCCGGCTCAGTGGTCTAGTGGTTAAGTGCTCGCGCGCGAAGCCAGTAGGTCCTGGGTTCGAGCCCCGCGTGGTGCGGGATCGTGGATGCGCACTGCTGAGGAGTCCCATACCAGGACGAAACGGCCGTCCAGTGCTTCCAGGTTTTCAATGGTGGTCTAGCTTCAACTGACTCATGATTTCAACCTGTGAAATGTATTTATTTATTTATTTATTCTCTTCGTTTATTATTTTTCTTCACACCCTCCTACCACTTTATTTTCTCTCAACTATACGTTTCATGGTCCAATTATCTGAACATTTCTTATTACGTCATCTTATAATTTTATAATTGTTATCTCAGTTTCTATATTTTTCTAATCATTGACCTATTTCAGATTATGTAACATTGATTTGAACCTTTATTATTATTGCTTATCAAAAACTAATCCACCTGTTGTCACACCATCAATTTGTACTTATCACATTTTACTTATTATGTAATCTTTTCGATTGTTATCATTGACTTATAAACTACCTTGATTGGTTTAATAATTTCGTATATGCATATAAATATTACTGTATATTAGAGTAAAGCCTGATGAGGATCTAATCGAAAACAATATTGTTCGCTTATATATGTTGTTCTAAATAAATAAATAAATAGAACATACCTTTCGGTGGTATGATTTGATCTAATAATTTCGGACTAGTACGTTTCCAGATACGTTTAATCACTATACGTAATTCTTCATTCAACTGATCTAACGATTTTTCTTTTTCGCCAATTTCAGCTACAATTTTTTTTGTAAAATAAGGAAAAATATTTTTCGAAGAAAGTCAAAGCAGTAAAACAAACAGACAAAGATCGTCATCATAATCGTTATTTTCTCCGTAAAACACAAAATAAATCTGTCCGTATGACAGAAATAGAAATATTCAGATCATTTTAATTAGGTTATCAGTTATGTTTTACGCTTGTATCATTGCTTGGTACAGGTGAGTACGCAAATATTAGTGTTTACAGTAAGATAAAAACAAAAATGGAACATGGCAAGTTAAAGGACTAACAAAGAAAAAGAAAATGGCAAATGAAAGCGAATGCAAGAAGTGATATTTTGCATTCTCCTTAAAGCAATGTAACATGTAAATAGATTAGTTACAAGGAGCATCAACAAATCACTTAGACAATAAGTTATAAATATAATTTTCCAATGAAAGTTTAGTAAAACAACTCACTTATCTATTATAAGTGAATGAAATGTACAATAAAGCTACGAAGAAATTTTAGTGTAAAATATAACATTGCTTGATATGCATAACTGGTGAACTATTTAGTCAAAGAAGCTTATGTTTGTTAGACAGAATATACTGATATAAATACCCTTATTTCAAAATTCACAAAATTTATCAGTTGTTTATCAGCTGCTTCTAGGTTAAATGTTTAAGTAGTCCGATAATACATAGTTAAATACCATTCATAATGTAAAGTCTACAGTTGTTTGACTTAAACATCATATAAGGTTACAGGTTTCATCTTGAACATGATAACCTTCAGAGTGTAAGTGACAAATACTTTGAAAATATTTCAGTAATATATAATACTATACAGATGTTCTCCCAAGTTGCTTATTCATTATGCTTTAAAATCCCATGAATAATAAAACATTGTGTTTATGCGGAATAAGAAATTTAATACGCTTAAATCTCAGATAACTGACCAAGTTTAGCTGACTTAGGCTAATACTTTTGAATAGCAATAATAACAAAGAACACTGTGGAGTGAAGTGAACACAACTTACTGTAAATACTCCAATTATTTGCTAATTGTCTAAATTAAGTGTTTAAGGAATATGAATTTGTATGAAACATACACGAATAATTATTTTCATAATTAATTTAAAAAATCGTCTGTACTTAAGTAGAGAATTACACATTATCTCACACTTTTGACTTACACTATGCGATGTTAAAATCAGTGTGGTTTGATAATCACTTCCTAAGTATTTATCTTAATTTATCTCTTGCTTTCATATTTTTCATGTCTGACTGAGACATTTAAATAAAAAGTCATATTTCTGTTATAACTATGTCGATAGAAGAATGATGAACATGTGTAAAAATTGATTATTTCAAGTTGTCAAATCCGATGGTAACACACTGAAAATATTAAAAATCTTATTTAATTTTGTAGAACATAAATACGAATAGGTTACTCTGAAATTCAAAACAATAGTATAGTCAATCTGTGATGTAACACAGGCATCTAGCTCTTTCATCCAAGGTCACAAACCACTTCGTTCTAGTGCTTTAAGAAACCAAGAAGGTATAATAATACAGAGAAAAAAGTAGTCGCTATTTATTCACACAAAAAAATTTCCCAAAATATTTTGATAACACCAACTATGAAAATCAGGTCTGTGCATATACGACAAAGGTTTGGCTGAAATTTTGAAATTTTTTCCAGATAACTTTCTAATATTAATTGACAGGATCGAAGTAAGAAGTATACGAAAATATTAGGTTTATACCACGAACGGACTTTGGCTAGACAAATAGATATAGCCTATGAAAATGAACGATTTGTGTGCGATATCGTGAATTGATTGATGTTAAAATTCTAAACCATCGATCACAATTCATTTGTTTGAAAATAAAGCGACCACTACAAGATCTGAAAGTTTCAGGATCCATCGTTGGTTGAATCAAGTATCCACAATTCTGTGTTAGTCCAATGTTCCTGAATTTTAATGGTTTTCTAACTATGGTTAATCTATGGTGTTGAGTTTCAGATCCAACAATCTCTACAGCCATTTACATGAATGAGGGTTTTGAACTGTCGGTCAAATATATGCACTATAAGATACATAACATTCAACAGACTGTTTTAAAATTGGCTAAAGGACAGTCTATGTAAGTTGGTGATACTGCGATCACATTTCGAGAAGACACAGGTAAATGAAATGAATATTCATATAACTCAATATCAGTTCTAATGTCAATCAACAGGCATCTACACATTAAATGTTACTTATAAAACCATCCTTTATCAATAAATCAATAAAGATGAACAAATAAATGAAATGCAAAGAGTATAATATTATCGAATGTTATTATTACCTCCAGGAATTTTAATTTTGAGATTTCTACGCACTAAAGCAAAAAGAGTAGCGTTGAAAAATACAGTTCCATCACTATTCAGAGGCATATTCATTCTGACCAGTTTCTATTTGAATTAATAACAAAGAAAGTAATTAATGGTTGAAATCTCGAATGTCACATAATGTAATTATAAAAAATAGGGATATATATATCCTGGCACACTAATTTGCAACCATTCATTTGCTGAAACCTGTTTTGTCTAGCAATGTTTGCAGAAATACAACAAAACTTCGAAATAAAAAAATCCCCGAGTAAATGTGAATAACTCTTTCACCTTATGAATGTCAAGCAATTTCCATCCATTTCCAAATAACCAAAATATCGAGATCATAAACCGATCAGTGTGAAAAGCTATGACCAGTGACGTTTAACCGTGTCAGGTGTGAGACAGTTACTCACCGAAGACAATGGGGAATGGTCGCGCAGTATTGTGGATCGGTCGGAGTTAGACATTAAGACTGTTGAGTTTCGTTTCAGTGGGCGTTCACGTGCGAGAATGAAGTTTATGGGTTCGACTCCCGGATGTGGGATCATGGATACGCACTGTTGAGAACTCATACTCCAGGGAAAAACGGCCATCCAGTGCTTCCAGTTTTTCAGTGGTCTTACACTGATCGGCTCATGATTTCAATTAAAACCCAACAACCTCCCTAATCCTATACTGATAATGAAAAAGTCGTTAAAGCGCTCTTGTTGCAGTTGACATAGATAAGCGTCTTTATGATCTTAATAAGTTGTGATAGCAACAAAAAGTATTATTGTTGTAGACTTTCATACATCTCAGTATTACTGATCCTTACGATGTGATATATATATATTTTTTTCTTGTGACAGAAACTTCTTTGACAGTCTCGAATTTTTCCAATTGTCATTAGTTTATGATTGTCATTGCTTAAGTGTTTTCGTGTTCAAATCATCCAGATTAAGTAACTCAAACCTACTGTAGTATTGAAAGCACCACCTGATCGTTTCTATTTGGAACACAAATAAAATGCAAACGTGATAAAACTTATTTGAAAAATTCAATGACGTGATTTATACGTAAATAAAATAATCAGCGCAGTTCAAATGGAGAGTAATCTAAGTAGAAACATTTAGTTAATCATACGACTAGATAAAATTGTATATAAGTCTGTCAGTGATTCAAATAATGTTTTTCATACTTTAAACAGACAAAAAATAATGGTTTTCATCATGAAAGCTGATAAAGACGGCATGCATTTACAGTACTAGCATGTGGATCACTAACCTATGTGGACCGGTTTTTCTCATCCTATTTGTAAATCTTACTGACTCATGATACCAATCACACTGAGTTTATCCATAAATATACTTTGTTAAATTGTGCTAACAAACACGAAACCTAGGTTTATAATTTGTTGCCGACTATTTCAAACCACTAAATATCAAGATTAGTGACCATATTCGATATATTGGATCACTACCACGGGTTAGACAAACAGGGAGTTTGTTAATACACAGTGTGACACCAATGTAGATTTATCAGGTTTTGGGATAAAACTCAATACAACAGATCTAATATGACTATAAATTATAAAAGCCTCAGGCATATTTATTCCCAGAAAATAAATATTTCAATGTGCTTACATGACATGCTCTGGTATGTGGGCACATGCTGCCAAAACCAAGTGGTGGACTTATTTTTCCAAGCATAGTAACAACATCCAGATGTCGAACCCTTCCTCTGTACAAAGAAGAACAAAGTCAAATGATGGCAAAATATTTTGTGTTTGGTGGGATTGACAATAAACGAAAAATTACCAGTCATTTATAAGTGTATAGATTCAAATAGATGTAATAAGTAGTAAACAACTAAAATTTCAACTGTACAACTAAGTTACAAGGAGCTGTAATGTATTCGACATTTGATACATTTCATCTATTATGTCTCGGTATAAATACCTAGCAAAAGTTATGGTCTTTATGAGATTTCTGTTTATTGATCCGGCGCATATATATTATTACTGTCTAAAAGTGTTAAATATGATATATTTACCCATATAAAGCCTTTTTACCATATTGCATATTAAAGTATTATAAATGGAGTAACAATACCGTCATGATAAAGTCATATCGATTACTATCCTTTGACTACTTCAGTAACCTAGGGTTTATTTCTAGGTCCAATAGTAATTCAAATGTTACACTTGGAGGGTCGTTTATTGATTAAAGCGTCGACTTCCAACTGTTAAGTCTCGGGTTTGAGCTTTGCTACACCAATTCGGTTCGGACAACCGGGTTAAATCACTGGCCTCCACATTTGGTGTGTGGGTCATATTCAAGTACCTTCAGAATCAGTTGACTTAGTGGTTGATATTTATTAAAAAACTAATGCTGAACAATTTCACGTTAGGTTGTTGTACGAATATGATTTTTTCGAAGCTCAGGAGCAATGTAACGAGCATGGAAACACGTAAAGCATAAGCCTAATTTACTTACTTCCAAAAACCCAATAAGTATATTTTACTTTTAGAAAGAATAATTTGAGTGAAAATCGTATGTTCGTTACAAATTTGCTCAAACTTGAATGGTGCTGTATTTCAAAAATGTTTTTACTCACTTTGCTTCTGGATCATAATCTGCCCATTTTGTTATAAATTCATCCAGATGATGTGGTCCGAGAATTGACCAATCACGTGTAAGATAGTCAAAGTTATCCATTATAACAGCTACAAACAGATTGATAACCTGGAAGTCAATTGATATAAAATTCTGATTATGACTTAGAATGGTAGTCTAAATTATGGAATTATATTTCCGAAATTGGCTGAAACACCAATAAAAAATTGAGTATTAAAAATTATCCTGGAAGGTATTTTTAATTTTAAAGATATTCAGTGAATAGGAATTTTTGTGTGTTCTTAAAATAAATTAATATGCAGTAAAATAATGCACAAGACATGAAACACCATAGCAGATGAATCAACGAAATGAACTCTTTTCCATCAAATATAATATCGTTAATTGATTGAATTTAGAGATGTAAACTTTAGAATGCGGGCCCAGTGGTCTGAAAGTTAAGTGAACATCACAAGACTTGGAAAACCTGAGTTCGACCCCTGAACGGGTCGTAGGTTTACACTTATTAAGGTTCTCATGTTAGAAGAAAATAGCTGTCCAGTGGTTGTATAACTAACATTCATGAAAACTACTGAAAATGATGATATTGTACAGGAAAAAAAGCAATAAAATAATATTTTCAACGTACTAAAAATGCACTGATTGCATGAAAACTAATAAAGTAGGCATAGGCTAATTTTGATCCGCATCCATTGACTTCTGTTTCATCAGAATCTTTTGAACACTTTTGACCTGATAATTAAAACAAAATTGTGAAAAAATTACTGCAAATAACTTCTGTGTCTACATGATAATTTCTTATCACATTAACCATCAAACAAGCAATTAACTACACTGAATTTCGATTATGACTTTTTACAAAGCGTTTGTTTTTTACTTGAATGTTCTATCATGTTTCCTGAAACAAAATGTTGGCCAACATATCATGTATAGCTTATATGTTTTACGGACAATTGGTATGGATCTCAAGGCAGTCTTTACAAATTTAATATACATTTAGTGAATGTTAGATACATATAAATTTTCTTCGCAAGTAAGAATATTGGTGAAATTAAATCTGTGATTTCTTGTCATACATATAGTTGTTTTAGTCTGACAAATATTATGAAGATTAGATATTTGTGAAGATTGTTTTGATAAAACACTTGTTTGTACGATAGACTAAAACTAAGCTCTAAACAGACAATTAAATTATTAGGCGATTAAAACAAAACATATTCCACATCTCACCTTCTCTACATGCCATCATTATATCCTGCCATGATTCACCAGTTGCACATCTAAACAGAATAAAATTTTTTTAAACTGTATTGTTACCATAAAATTTCTCAGAAAATATTGCCAAATCGAATGACACTCTGTGAATAAAATTGCTTTGTCACATAGCCCATTAATCTCCACAACCTACTTAATGAACGCGTGCTGATGTATGATAGGCTAACTAAACTGTGATTGGCTGATGAAATGTCACTTTATAGCGCCATCTCATTATATTAGTTAACCATTGATATTAACAAAACATTATGTTGTCCAGACTATAAGGCTGATCAAATTCAATTATCCACATTGATAAGAGTTGATACGACAATGAACATTTAAATCAAACAATTAATAACAATCATGAATTAAGCGCAAGATCGATTTCTAAATATCCAACTCCGAGAAGAGGTCAGTCGCACCCCGAAACGTTGAATAGTAACATTTCTAGCTATGACACTGTGCTACACAAGTTGAAATCTCAATTGGAATACTGCTTAAGATTATAAATACACTCAGTCGACAAGTGCTAACTTGTACGAAATGAAAATAGATATGAGTTCTCCTGACCAGAAATCTACATAAATTTTTCACCAGGTAAGCTAAGTCAATTACCTCACTCTTAGGCGAAAATTAAAACTAATAAATCCTTAAATCTTTCTTACACAGAATTAAAAGTTTTTTCACTAACCGAAATAATACTAAAAGAGCATAGAAAAAATTTTGAAAATTATTATTTCTGTGTAAAGTAGGCCATTCCTCTTCTTCTAATGGGTTTTCTTCAATGGAAATTTGTCCAAATAGTTGCATACCAATTACGGCATAAATAAAAAATATCATTGCAATTAATAATGCAACATATGGTAATGCCTAAATTTCACACAAAATAAAGAGAAATGAGAATGCGTATTACAATAACATCCTTATACAATTTGAGGAATTCAAATTAATTTGATCAAAATATATTAAATGCATTCATTAGCAAATATTTCAGTATATATGCAGAAAAAAATACTATTGAGTACGAGTCATTTGTGGAGATGGAGATTAACTGATCGGTGTCCACATGATGCCTATTGACTATGTCTGACATTCATGAGTTATAGAACAGAAGACCTTACTGTATTTATTCTAGTTTCTTCTTCTGTTTGTGATGAAATGAATTAGTTATTAGAGTACATTGAACAACGATCCATAATAAATGATCTTACACTTAATGTTTTTAAGTGCCGAAGTATGAGCTTTACTCGAAGATGGAAGTAACATAGACTCCTAGAGGAAATTATATGATTTTTAAATTGCTGTCACATTTAATGTGTCTCTGTTTGAGTTTTTCTTCTGATCTCGTTCGGTCTTACCATGTTTTCTTAATGTTGTACTTAGCAATACAGATATTTACCTCAGAAATTTGCAAACCTTCGTTCATTACCTATTATCTTATCCTATATCTTGATATTTTTTCAAGCTATTAGTAGCTATGCGTGGTCATTGTATTTATGTTATTGTAAGTATGGTTTTAAATAGACATTTCATTCAGTGCAAGCAACTCTCTAGTGTTTTTCTGTCAAATACAAACCACCTGATTAATCCACTTTTTTCCTCTAATGTATATATGTTTATTACTGAGATATAAATGAAAAAGCTTGTTTAAATATTTTAGGCTGAGAACTCCACGTTATACTGGAAATATATATTAGTGAATGAAGTAATTATTTTTATAATTAGATGGGTGACAATTAAAACTTATAGAAACTTGTTTTTCATACTGTTACATACTATAACTAATCACTTATTATGATGAACAACAATTAAGTCTAACTATCCCTTCTTTGTTTAGTGAAAAAATAAGTGACTACAAAACTAACTCATTATTTATGACATCTAGTCATATTTACTTACGTGAAAATATTTAACATAAAAGGACATTATCTAATTAAATAAAAAACCCGATACTCGGGCTAGTGACCTCTTTAATACCAGAACGTTCGAAGGCCTTAGTCAATAATCCGGTCTTGTATGCAGCCATCACTTCTTCATATTGTATCAGAGCATATCGCATATAAATACCCATTTTATTCAACAACTTTAACGCTTCAAAACTCATTTATTCGTCAAATCCTAGTTTATAGCATTGGTTATCACAATGTTTAGCAATCATGAATTACACATCTACTTAGCTCAATATGAAAACAAAAATAAAATGTGGCTTATAATTTTTACTATAACAGTGTTTGTTCTGAATTTTCACGTTTTATTCAAAATACAGTGTCAATAAGAAACAAAGAATTAATAATTTAGTTCATCGAGTTCAATCAACATTAAGTACAAGGCAAAAATAATTTTTGGTTTCTAATCAGTATTCAATTAGTATCAATATCACTGTCCTACAGAACTCGAATAGCTCGGTAGTCCTGTCTCATTAGGTGACCCTGATTTCAACAAGTGATCATATTTTAGCTTGATTGACATAATTCAATTAAAACTGAAGACAAATAGAACACGATAGTGGTTACTATTCAGTGATCAATCAGTGAAGAACTTCTAACTCTCATTTTATCCCAATTTTACTGAATCAAAATAGAATATGTACATTTTTTTAAAGAAAGCGTTTTAAATCTAATAAAAACAGCCTTCAATCAAACTAACATATATAAATGCATTGACGAAATGGAATGTGGATTGTTATTATCACAGGCTATACAGTGTATAGAAATTCTTTTACTGGTGAAGGAACATAATACGCTTTCAATTTTATGACATTAACTTATATTTAATGTGTCTTATTCATTCTTTAGTTTTCCGATCAATTTTTAAGTCTATTAAAATATTCATGGTATTTTAATGTAAACAATTTTGTCAAACAATTGGCAATTTAGAAGATAAATTGATACAAAGAGTACATCAACAACAACAAAAATTCTAGACGCTTTTAAGACATCAATGAAATATGTAGTTTTTGTAAGACATTGCTGTAGGTTTATTTCTATCAAATAATGAGCTACCAAGCGTAAAGTTTCCTATAATTTTTAACATGATTGATGAAGATCATTTATTCAAAGAAATTTTAAAAGTAATCTTATACATAAACAAAACAAAATTGTATAAATTAAATTTCACCAAGTTTGTAAATTAGTTGAACTGAATATTCCAGCAGATTATTCAACGATGAATACAGACTAAAGACTAGAATAAAATATATATTTTTCATGTAACCAATCACACAATTTATGTTTGCTCACCGATACAAACATAAAAACTTGTTGAAATCATGTTACTGTAAATTATTAATAATATTATCTCATGATTTAAATTATTAAAGCAAACCAATAATGAATATACTCTATGAAGAGTTACAAAATTACTTGTATAGATTTGATAAATGTCCACAATAATTGACGTATAGATTCTTCTTTGCTTAACAATTTAATCAATCTCATAACACGAAATAGACGGAAAAAATTTACACTGAATTTGACCTGACTTATATCAGACTAAAAAAATAAAAATGAAGATAAGACAAGATTTAAAAAGAAATTAGTTAGTAAACTAAACACAAAGTGTTCCTTTTTGCACATATAATATTGTAGTTGGAATTATGGTGAGTGAGTATCAACTAATAGTCTTAATAGAAACCATCCAGGTTCTAGAATTTATTGTACAATAATTAACGATTCTGATGATGACTAATAAAATTGCAGACACTCTAGGATATCAGTATGCAGCAGAACTATAGCAGAACATATATATGGGAAAATTAAGATCTGTTTGTGCCTCGTGATTGACTGTGAACAATAAATAGCCAAATAGTCATAATTTGAAACACGTTAAATACATTTTTTATTACATCAATAATAGTCGACAATTTCAGCTTTTTCCTAATTTTTCTATCATGACAGGAATATTTATGTAAACTAATAGATAAATGAGGTAATGATAACGTTAGTTTAAATGAAATATATATAGAAATTCCTCATTCATTTATTCTTTTAAACAATATAACGGACTACTATTCATGATCTACTTCTGAGAACAAAGTTTCCTGTTGATGGATCAAACAAGAATTTGTGGACGGAATATGAAAGATGAATAATATCACTTTATCAAAACAGTATTAAAACCTTGTTTGAATCCATAATAACTAGCAAATCGACTCTATGTGACCTAATACAAAGCATTATAAACTATACAAGTTGTTACACAAAAGTGATGTGTAAAGTTTACAATTGTATATTAATGATGGTTGTTTCATCCTGTCTTTAAATATGAGACGTGTAAACATTTAACTGTGGATAGTATTTTAAAACTGTTGTGCAGTTTTAATTTTTAGGATTCTATCAACTAATGGTTTGATACATTATCAATGAAATCATCTATATGAATACCATCAGAAATTGAAGACAAGAGTAATCAGAAAATAATACTTGCCGATAATGAAACTAAATATTATCTTTCCAAATTAACATTAAATTACTTACAGATGTATGTTGTACAGTCAAATATGGAAAATATGTTTATATTATAAGAAATGCCAACTGGTAAAAAGCAATTCATATAAATATTGTTTTACCTGTGTCACAATGATATCTATATAACTACCAAGGACCAAGACAAAATCGATCACATTCCAAATATCACTAAAATAATGCTAACAAATTTTGGAGAGGAAAAAAACAAAAGGAAACCATCAATAAGTAGAAATAATTACCCCCGCAAAAAATGAAATAAAAATAGGAAATTTTATTTCACGAAAATTCCATTACATAGTCTGTCACTGTTATTACTATCTCAAATCCATGAGTAACTACATGTTTCTCCTACAATAAGAACCACAGTATATTTACACATATGTCATGATTGCAGACTAAGTGCGCTGTTGTATGTCAGTTAGTCGGCAACCTGTGCTTACAGCTTTTAGCCGATTGGCAACGATGATCGTAAAACAAATTTATCATAACATATTGTATTTTTATTCATTTATGCTCATGACCTCTCGTGGAGGAGCATAGACCGCCAACCAGTATTCTCCATCCAACTCTATCCTGGGCAATCCTTTTCAGTTCTTTACAGTTGCCATTAATCCTTTTCATGTCTGCTTCCAATTCTCGACGCAGTGTGTCCTGATTATTTTAGCTGACTTTTTATTAGGATATTGAAATAAATACTAAACTTAGAGTTAGGCTGACAAAAAAATCGTACAGAAGAATAAATAATGGTAATTACTTTTGGAGATGTCACTGAAGAAGTATCACTGATATCCTATGATTTAATATTTCCCATCGGCTGATGTTTCGATAATTACCATAATTTTCGGAACTTACGAAAATTCCAAAATACCATTTAAATACAAAAGTGACATGATCATTTTAATTATGTTTTTAAACGAAGAGTATCAACAGTAAGTAATGACAACACTGAACACAGTCCTTCACTTACTGAATCATATTTAGGTCATTATCATCTTATAAAAAAAGTTTAATAAACACTTGTCAATTTATAAAGTACAAGATTATGAACTATTAATCATTTTTGAAAAAAAATTCGAAATGGATTAAAATGAAAATTCACTTGTTCTTAGAAATAGATACATAATAAAATACAAAACTCACCCGAAAACTGAATGCTGATAAACGAAGTATAAATTCTACTGTAAATACAGCAGTAAAAAAATAATTGAATGAATCTAATATTCTTGCTTCAAGTTTACCTTGTTTATCATACTATGAAGATGAAACAAAAGAAACAAATGAAAAATAAACTTAAAAATTTTCTCAAGTAGTTTTTATTATAGAGATTTAGAAATATACACTACATTATAAATTGATATCAGTTTGGAAATCATTAAACATTAGAAAATCTTATATAGATATATTTCACAAAATTGAGACTCATCAGTAGTACGTGTTCATAAGTTTGTACATATCCCAAAGTAAAATCATATAGCTTTTCGAACATTTTTTAGTATTTTCATTTGTTCTCAAAATGATAAAAAAGTTATGCTAGGAAAATCTCACGTTTAAAAGATTAGGTATATTTATCGACTATAACCTTATTGAAAGTATCATTATACAATTACTATACAAATGTAAAGCTATTTGGAATCATTCATAAGATAAAATCTCTAATGTCAAAAGTATTCCCTATTCAAATAAGATTGGTGAACAATAACAAGAGATTTTCAAATTACACCAAGTGTATAACCGAAATAAAATGACGCATGTTCTTAGGGTAACTCATTTTTCAATGATCATTTGGTAGACATATCTTTAAATATTCATCAACCAATATATATTAAGTCGGATAGCATTCGAGTAAATAAATTATAATATGATAAGACAATATAAATTATAAAATTGTAAAATTATTTGCTTACTTTCAACATCAGTGCCACAGTGTTTATAAATATGAATATGAAGATTAATATTTCAAACCTTTTTGATACAACTACAGACCAAATCTTAAACTGTAAATGCCCTTTAGGAATGTAACGTCGACGTGGTCTAGCTTTCAAGGCATATTCTATACATTTACGCTAACGATAAAAAAAACAACAGTAAAAAGAACATTTACGTAAAATACATTGTTGAAATTGATAAAATTAAGGGATAATATAATGAAATGAGATACGAATAGCAACAATGTTTGTTGACGAATGTCTAAAGTAAGTTTAATGATTTAGTTTATTTCCGTCCACAAAACGCTTAGTTAAATAATACTTTATTCACTTTGGTAAAAGCTGATTAATCTCAGAATACTAAGTTTTTGCATTTCAGTTACATTTGGTGACTCTTATTTAAATATGCCACATAATTAGTTAATTTAGAAGTTATGCTATGCAGATAATATCCATCAGACCTGATGGTTGTTCCATCTAGTGGTTTATAATTTAATGAATTTAGAAGATAACTGTTTACGAGTTACACTCATGAAACAATACACCAATTTTTATCAGTCACCTGTTATTATACTGATTTTGAAATTATAAAAATCATTCAAGATTCTTTTGTAGCCTACACCATAAAATTATGAAAGAAAACTTTATTCAACAAACCTGATGCCAGTTATTTTGTCTAAGTTATAAATTGAAAATTAGGATTCATTCTTCTTTAATTTCGAACCAACGTTTTATAACGATGTTTGTCATAAGGTACCCGAAGTTTACTACTGAGTTTTGGAAATCACTCAAGTTTTCATATAACTTATCTGATCAAGACAACGTAATATCTTCCACGTTCATCATCTTGCTTACTGCCATATAAATTTCTGGCGTACCACACTTGGTAAGAACCAACGTCATATTGTCCAGTACTTAATGCTGATCTAATTGTATCGATGAAACTCAAAAGCAATTTAAGCTTCTCAGCACAAAAAAAGTTAATTTCATAGCAAATAACTTATCGCCAACATCGAGGAATGAGACAGCAGGTGTGATGAGTATAAATCCTATAGTAGGCATCAAAGTCTTCCAAGATCGCAGATATAGCGTCTTGCCGACTGAAAACTAACACAAAAAATAAGTCAGACAGGCCTTTCGACCACTTGTCGCCAACCACCAAACAGCATTCGGTTAGTTATTCAATACTTTTCACTCAAAATAATTCACCATACTAAGAGAAAAAAATTCCTTACTTGATTTTTATTTAATTCACAATTTTTATATTCTGCTTCACCCTCTTTTTGAAATGTCACAATAACGAAACCAACGAATATATTAATCATGAAGAATGGAATGAGAATAATAAATGTAATGTAGAAAAATGCGACTATTGGTCTATAATTTGTTATTGGTCCATGATCTTCTGCGTTCGAATCAATAGATCGGTATAATAAACTGAATACAAAACGTAAACACCCAATGAGTGGTCAAGGTAAAAGATTGACATGATATTACTTAATTGTATAAGTCCCATTAAAAATTCTATAAATATAAATGTTTCAATTTTTAATAACTGAGAATGAGTTTATTAGGAAACTATTTTTGAAACCATTTTACCCGGATAGTATGTTAAGCTAACTTTTCAATGGAAATAAAACTATATCATGAATAGATAAGGTGTTTGTTTAACATGAAAAATATTCTTTTCATTTAATAACATTTATAAATGAATATAATAATAAATTTTAACTAACATTTGATACTTGGTATACACAAATTTCGGTAGTTCCCATTTGACAGTAACAGAAATACATATAAAGCCATAAAGACATATAAAGCCGACAACACTAGATGGTCGTTACAATCAAATGGGAAATACAGACCACTAAATCTCGTCTTGATGGTTTAGAGTTAACGTTACCTCTCCACAACCGAAGATTCTGTGTACCAAATTTGTTGTGATAGAGTGTATAAACTGCCAATGAGCTTCAACCTACAACAAAAGCTGTCAAGTGCCTCCCCCCACCAGTTTTCAATGATTTATTAGGTAAAGAAAGTTAGTGATAAGGACTATCTCAACATACATATACAGTTTTCGTGTTTCTTTTATTTTTGAATTATGCTTTCTCAGTACCCAGACAAATAACATGCACTCAAAAAGTGAGTTGTAAAAAGATGTAAGGTTGCTTTTTCAACGTTTAGATTTCCTTGTCATCTTTTAAAGAGCATTATACTACCTTAACAGAAATGGAAACGCGATTGACATAAAATTTTATTTAATATTCTAAAGAAAGCAATCATCGTCAGGCAAAAGGCGCATAGTAAACAAATTCATTTTTCTCTCAACCTGGCTAAACCTTTCATCAGGTAACCCCAAAACAATTGTGTGAGTGTATATGTATAAATATCACTTTAAATTGCACAATAAATAAAAAAGCAGATTAACTATTCGTCTACTATAAAAACTACTTATTTTGTTTTATAAATGTGATGTAAATAATTGTTGTTATCATAATAACGTTTGAAAATAATATTATTTATTAGGAATTGTTGAGACCGTTTACACTTACCTTGGCCAGCCTTCAAAAGTAGAAACAGCAAATAGAGTTAATAAAGCATTTGGAACATTATCAAAATTGAAATCAGCATTTTTCCATTCTCTTTCACTAAGAATAGGATCGTCTAAACTCATATCTTTATATTCAATAAATTGACCTCTAAAAAGCATTCAAATATTAAAATGTACAATGAATTTCTATGTTTACAAGTAAATCGATCAAAACAATTCTACATATAATGAATATGGTCTACTAAACGGTCCTGATCTGTGATATTTAGAGACCTTATCGACTTCGAAATGGAATGAAAATAAACAAACTCATTTCAAATAATGTGACGTTGCTCAGTATTATTGAATATTGTCTTCCGGTCTTCAAGAAGTTGTTTGAAGTAGAAATCTTACAATAATGTATGATGATCAATGTGTTCATTAACACAATAGTAATTATATACACAAATGCTTTCTTGACTTAATGTGAGATGGCACTTTTTCTATCAATTTTTTTATAAACTGACAGTTAAATAGTCGGCTATCAATTATCTGGTTCTATGAAATAGGAGTCAGAAAGAAACTTACATTATAAACTGAAACATTCTATTACGGCAGTAATTTATTCTGTTTAAAGTGGTCTTATTGACCATTATCAATGGTTATACAATATTCCCATAGTTTCAGTAACTTTTGATTAAATCATTTGTTTGAAAACCAAGCGAATCACTATGATTTTAATCATCAAAACTAACTTACTTGCAATCTTCTTCAACATGTTTTGATATATCTGTACATGAGTAAAATTTACCCTTGAATAACTGTACACCAATAACTGCAAACATGAATTCTAATAAGAATGTGACGAGTACGATGTTACCAATACTTTTAATGGCAATAATCATACACTGGACAACATGCTATAGATTATAAATTAAGAAAAATTAAACAAAAATTTGTTATTTAATAAAATTTAAAGCTGAAACCGTTCAAACAGATTATATTGTTTGAGATTCATTCATGTTTTGTTGAATGATTGAGTTATTACATACAAAACGTAAAAGAGATTTAAAAAAAATCAAAATAACATTCCTATAAAATAGTGAAAACAAATGGACTTTCTATGTGCAGAATAAACAACCTCAATATATTTGAGATGATGCCTTATTTCTTACCGGTTGTCATAATGTTTATTATCTTTCATGACAAATGTATGAGAAAGTAGCAATTCGTGTGTATATTGTCATTCGATAAACAGAAAATAATGTTAGATGATAACACAAACATCACTACTTAACAAAATCTCAGTATTTATTTTTCAACATATTACATGTAAGTGAAAAATATGTATAATGCTTACTTTTAACCCTTTGGCTCGATTAATAGCTCTTAAAGGTCGAAGCACCCGAAGAACTCTTAAGATTTTTACTGCGGAAATTGTTTGATTCCTACAAACAAACAAAATACACCGTGTTAAACCTTTAGTGTAATCAGATGAATCAAAATATTGTACAGAAAGAGTGTGATAAAAATCTAGATTGACAACGCAACCAATTATTTACTAGCGCGCATCAATGTGTATTTTTTACAATCATCAGTTATGTCATGTTAATTTACTAATAACATTATCATATCATCTCTGTAGGATTCTTAATAACTTCTTCACCTATCAGTTATTTCAAGCTAATCCTAAAAATTGAAGGGTTGTTTTATGTTTTATGTTCATACTGCTGTTGCAGAGTGAATCTAATTATTTTTTAATGCTAATATGTATAAAAAACCCATCTTAATTACCTCAAACCGTATAGTTTTACAAAAAAGAATAAAGTAATGAATTATATGCCTAGCATAAATAACTTACTGTAACACGAATGAAACTAATGCTACGCAGACAACAATAAGATCAAGTAAATTGAATACACTACGACAAAATGCTCCTTCATGAAGTACAAATCCATAAGAAATCATCTAAAGTGCGACAAAAGTATATATATACAAATATTAGGGAAAATATCCATTTATAAAAAATAGAAATAATGAGACTTTCAGCATTCTGAACATTATCAACAACTACTCTTTGCTAAACTTCTTGAAGTATATCGCTAACGAGTCAACCAGTTATCCTTTGCCTTATGATACCCTAACTGGAATAAATCTGTCACAAATGCAGCTAACCAATGTGGATTAATCTTAAAGGAACCTCTTCGGATAACAAGATATTAGAGATCTAAGATATTTATATAACTTTAATCAAATGCAACTTATTCTTCGCAAAATCACGAGATGACCTTTTATGGAGAATAAGATGACAGTCATACATCTTTTGCACAATTTAGTAAAAAATAAATGATATCGTTATGAAATTAATGTAGATTTTCAGCACTATTTGGTAGATTAAAATCCGTTACCTGATGTAAGCACATATTTTATCATTTATTCTATTATGTATGTATTTGCTACTAGTTAATGATTATATGACATTATTCCAGATTTAGTTTACTGTAATTCAGAATGGAAATAATTACCGACAAATTGTTGCAACTAGATTTTGTTGAATAGTTTTACAATTTTATACTTTCCACAAGTAATCAGAAAATCTCAATTCCAAGTGATTAATAGTACTAATTAAAACGTGATCAGTAGATAGGTTCCATGTTATTTTTTAGAACTGGAATATATACATGTATATTTATATATAATGGAGAAGACTTGAAAATCATGTGTATGATTTTGGTGTTATCAACGTCTCCGATCTAGAAATTTTGATGTTAAAATTTTTTTATTCGTACTGGACAAAATCATCAGCGCTTGCTTCACGTAGAAGTCGTCGGAACTGACCTAGTTCACTTAGTTCAGAGAACTCAATAATATTCAGAGATGTACATGTTCATGTGCAAAAACAGTGACATAGAGTGATGAGAATAATTTAGGTGGGAACATCATTTTAAGTGTAAATTTTATAATTTATGTAACTTTATTAAACTAAAGTTGCATATTAGTCTCAAACTGATTTAGATAAACGCAGTTTGTCATGTTAGTGACATTATTCACAATATATGCTGAAATTTTAGTATTTCATCAACAACTTACTTTCAAAGTGATTTCCACAGTGAAAACGCTAGTGAAAAAGTAATCAAACATGTTCAGAATCTGAAAACAATTTTAGTTTGGAAAGAGAGAGAATAAAGAAATTCGTTGTATATGTAATCTATGAATAGTTACTTGTTGTTTTGTACATACTTGAAGATATTTATTTATAAAATAACATAGTCACCAATGTAATTCAACGTAGTTCTTATCAATATCGGGTATATAATATTTGTCAATGCTATCAACGAACAAATAAAACGGATAATTATCAATTCATTCAACAAAATGTATTCTCGTACATATTTCAAAACGTCGTTATTCGCCTGTATAATAACAAAATTATAGTTTAGAACAGAGGCGAACTAATAGTGGTTAATATAAGAATGATTTACTTAAAGTTTATCCAAATCAACTTCATTTGAGGAACTGTATTCACTTTCAAACGCCTAATATCTTACCTTATGTGGTAAATATATAATCAGAAGGCACGTAATGAACACATTGTACGTGTCATTTTAAATACTAAGAGATACAACTACTAAGTCATCGTTTAATTCAAATAAATCATTTGAAAAAAAACTAATCCACGACAAATTATCGTCCGAGTAATATATTTTATGAAAGAAAAGCAAATATTTATTAGGCAGGAAAAATTCATGTGTTCACCTATATATCATGAATATATGTACGAGATAATACTACCTAAAGAAGTGTAAATCTAAAGAAATATGCTACTGTTTACAATGAGGCATCGTCTGTAGTAAAATTGCAAAGAAATGAAACATAACAAAAGGGATAACAAAGTCATTTGAATTAGTGTTAAGTGAAAAACTCTAAGGATGTGAATAAATATATGCACACAGATTGCCAAGTAAGTAGTTATATATATATATATATATATATATATATATATATATATATATATATATATATATATATACATTCAAAAATGTCCTCAATAAAAGCAAATCAAAATATTGGCTTAAGCCTCTTAACTGGCTTTCTGATCTGTTTGATTTTTATAAACTAACCGGTAACCAGAACGTTATAACTAACTTGAATAAATGGAATTATTTCAAATCGTTATATATCTGAATGTTATGCACTAAGAACTAACATGATGTAAACAGAGATCGGAAAAATAAGAAACGTAGTGTATTTATTTACTCTAAATAATAATTATCATTAATTTGGTTAAAATATTTCAACTTTATTATAAAAAATAACAATGGAAATAATCCGTACTCGATTTCTTGGAGAGTTTGCATGTAATGGATCTTCGGCAGCAAGTAAAATACTGCTTACCAAAATACAAACCAATACAATATTTCCAAAATGGGAGAAACAGACCACATTATGACAAAATATACGAAATCTAAATCGTAAAAAAAAGACATGGTTAAGATAAATTTTAACGGTAAATGCAAATCTTTAAATATGTCGAAAATTTCTTTACGAAATATTCATACATTACAGGTTTTTACTAGAATATCATTTTATTCAGTATAACATGTAAGTTAAATCTGTACGACAAAATAAACAAATTGCATACTGATCGTTTTTACAAATCTACAAATTTTCCTGTTTTTGATTCAATCATTAAATTGAACTTTATTGGTCATTTATAATCTTTTCCTAGACGCTTCCGCCTTTTATACAGTTATACAAAATAAAGACGAATGACAACGTTATTATTATTTACCGTGTTAAAATATTCTATCTTCTGACCAGTTAACTATGCTGATATTTATTTAAAATGATTATTCTGTTTACTATAAAACGTTTAGAAAATTTATGTTGGACAAAATTTGGACAGATTCACAACAAAAGATGTTTTTGCCAGTCTTACAAATGTTTATATATAATAAAATAAAAATTTCCAATTTCAAATGAGAGATATTTTGATATTGATAGATAACTTACTCTTTTTAAGTAATTTATGAACAGTCGGGAAGGTATCATTTTTTACAAAAGTATGGTGTACAGAAAACAAACTTCAAAGGCAAATATTTCAACAAGTTATTAATCAGTTTGGGCAAAAATGTTATATTTATTTACTCAGTATTGTTTATTATGAAGTGTGCTTTATAAGCAGACGGTTTCCTAACGAAAGTGGAAAAGTATCCTTGGTTAATGAACGTGAAATGAAGATTCATTAAATTGTCAACTAGTAAGTCATATTAATTGTGTATTTTAATATCTTCGTACAAAATCATTGAATTTTACATGGAAACCATACTTAACTGTATTTTCATGATTATTTCCCAAATTCTTTATATTATAAAATCATGAGATCCTTTGTCGTTTTCAATTAATCCACCGCAATATTAATTCAACAACAAGCTACAAATTCATATGAAGTTATATTGATAAATTAGGTGGTTATAAAAATTTTTTTCCTTTAGTGTCTGTTACTTGATAGAATGCCTAGATGAGAATTTTTAACAAAAATATTTTTTATATATCCACCAAATGATTCAACAGAATGTTATGGCTAATGTTATTATTTTCAAGAACAGTGTATTTGTTATTGATTTCCATTAAATAAACTTTCACAGCCAATAAGTTCGCATGATTTTATGGAAATATTTTCAATTTACACTGTCTTCAAAGTTTTTGGAGGATAATGATCTATTGAAGTTAGAATTATATACAGAATACGCTTCAAGAAGTCCATTAATTAACAGTTCATGAGAAACGTATCCAATCATGCTACCACAATGAAAGGTTAACCTTATTTAGAATTTGATTGTAAATTAATTGTTTTAGAAATCACTGACAACATAGGAAACAAAGAATAATTCGAATGTTTACTTGTTCGTATCAGCAAATATAAAGAATGCTGAATGAGGTGGCATTGTTCGACTATCTTGTGGTGACATATCTTTCTGATCGTCCCCATCTTTACCATTTAAATCTCCTTCTTCCTCAACATCTTCATCTTCAGCAAACATTTCTTCATATGTTTGATCTTCATTATCTAAAATGAGAAATGATTCATGCAGCTAATAAATACCAATAAGAATAAAAAGAGTAAATTATCATGGTATTGAGTTGTGAATTTTAATGAATCATTATATCATTACTATATATATATATATCAGACGATTCACGATATCATTTGCTCCTAAATCTTTGAGAAATAATTTTCAATTATTATAGAATGTGAATACAGTTTATAACTTACCTGTTCTTTCATATTGTTTAATTTTCATTCTATAAGTAAAAGAGTATGATAAAAGTATTTTATTTCCAGTGGGGACATTTGTAGTTAGATACATACTACTTGGTTGGAAGATAATAAATACTTATGAAATTTATGTTAATGAGGAACTTCAACGTAATGAAGATTTGCCATCACGTGGAAATGTGTTTCTGTCGAAATATTCAACTTTGCAGCAGCATACCAACATGGGATTAGCAAACATAACGATAATACAAAGATAGGAGTATAAACAGACCATTGAAAAACTAAGGATAAGGATAGAGACCAATAGAGCAAATAAAAGTTTAGAGTAAACAGTCTTGAATAAAACTATGTTCAAGATTAAAAATTATTTCCGTGGGAATCGGCATGAATTTCCATCAACAGATGATGAACAAGTAACTAGAAGCCCTAATTCCGTCAACATGGCTCAGAATATTGATAAAAAATAGTACAGAACAATAAAATGTATTAGTCTGACCAACGCTAGCCATGTTTCAACCTCCTAACATGTTAATGATTATAACAGAACAAAGAAGTCGTTTACTAAGCAAGCTTAATGTGTGGTTAGACTAGATAACTTGGTGAAAGTCTATAAATTTTAACTATTAATTTAAGCCTTACATAACTGTAACTTAATCCCCATTTCCTCCAAACAAAGCGATGTCAATACTAGTAGCGGTTACATGTTCTACAGCTCCAAGCCCAACATGTATTTCTTTTAAATATCCCATCAGTAATAAAATTTACGCCTAGTGATATCTTGTAATGGTATTTTAGCAAGGGAAACATTGCTTGATTAGTTAATCGCCAGGAACATGGGGCTTAGAAGTAATGAGTAAACGTCAAAGCAACCTTATCTCACATCCTAACAGTAAGAACTATAACAAACACGACAAACATTTTCCTAAAGGTAATCACAGAGTTGGATATGATAGAAAATCAGACGAAATTAACATCGTACTACAAGAGCAAATAAGATGAGATCTAGACGATGAAATGTCATCAAACTCAAAATGTGATGGGAAATATGGAATATAAGCACATGCTGCACCGTGAGCGTTTTCCAGCAAAGTCATCTAGTATCTTCACACATAAATCCCAACTATTGTGTACGTTCTAACTGGAGACTTTAAATTCCACTCTACTGTTCCTGTTAAAACTATTGATTATTTGAATTCTCGATAGAACGGATCGAATAAATACATAATCCAAGACAGTAAAAGATACGATTGCTTAATAAAGATAGATTGATAGATATCATTTTTCACCTACAGATGACTAGAATCGTCAGGTGAACATTTATTGAATAACGTTCCTTGAAAAAAATTAAATAAAACATACACTGAATTTAATTCATTTTCTCGCTGTTCTGGAGGTGGTGCAGTTTGTTCAACAGTCTCTGTAAGTTCTGGTGTGTCATTTTGTTTTTTTAGTGCATCACCATTTCCTTCTTCCTCTTCATCTTCATCTTCGTTTAAATTATCGACAGCAATAGCCAAGAACACGTTCAATAAAATATCTGATAACATACTATATAAGAAAATATTAGCTTTATTCATGTTACAAATAACAGACCAACAAACTGGTGTTGAATATATATGCTGACTTACACTAAAGTAGTGTGTTGTTTTTTAATATTTTGACAAATCGAAATCATTAAAATAAAACTGAGTTCATGAGGGCTCATCAAAATAATACCTTTTCTTAGTATCGAAAAATTATCCAAATTGTAATTCTGAACATTTTAATTAAACTATAATCAAAGTATTAAAATGATTCCATTAATAATTATACAAGTACATTAATATTACTTTAGGTATGACCTTTGTGATCCAGTCTTAAACAGAAAGCGTTATCAAAATAAATAAAAGAAGAAATGTATACATTTGATGAACATAAAGAAATATCGAGTATTTCTGAATTAATTTGAATGAATGGATGACTTTATAGACATTTTATAAGGGTATCATAGTATTCATACGAATTATCAATTTTTATATAATTTGAAACAGTCAAAAGTGCTTTTATTTTAATTTCGACTTTTTTTCCCAATGACATAATTTACATATATATTGGGATACTAATAGTTTCATCCATCATAAGAATGAACACTTACAATAAATTTCCACATATACTATGAACTTGGCATTCGTTATTGTGTCAGACGTACATAATATCTATTTCAACAAATTCTCTTGGTAATATACAACCTTTTTCTAAAAACATCCAAAAATTACAATCAAACAACGTCATTTTACTACCAAAAAAGAATGAAATGACTTTCAAAGGATACAATTGCCACATATGAAAAGAAATATGAAGTAGATAACTACAACTCCATACCAAGGACTATTTTCATATGCTCTCATTCCATGATACATAACTTCATTCCAATCTTCACCAGTTAGTATCTTCATTGTGAGGAGAAAAATAAAATGAAACAAGGAACTAAACATGTTTGTACATGAAGACAATGAATAAATTAACACATTTAAGAATGTAAAATATTTATTTTAAACAAATTAGTTCATCTAATCCAGCCTTGATTAGCCGCGAAATCATTATATGCGTACAATTCATTGTGAACTATTCAAGTATTGATTACCTTTTACAATGCTCTACAAATACAAGATATCTTACAATGAAAATAGGCCGTTTGCGGAAGTCTATATGGCCTAAAACTCAACTCACTTTGTGACTAGTAAAGAATCTGTCCTAACTAACACTATTGTAAGGTAAATACATTCATAATAACTAAAAATGTGATGCAAAATATATCTGTGTTGAATTCTTTTCAACGATGAGATAACAATAAAGTACTGATTAAGTTCAAAATCAACCATTTAATCAGTTAAGAACAGCGTCATACTAAATTGAAAGTATGCTCGATTCGTTTATTTTAAAAAACAATTTCATGCTGAATAATATAAGTGATTTCCATAACTTCATTTCCAACACACATTTATTCCCTTTTCACTCATTAGCTGGTATGCCAAGATAAGACCTAAAATAATTTTGAAATGATTCTTTGTATTTTTTCTGGTGATCTATAATTGATGTCAAATTTTAATTAAATTTCATGGCTTACATAATTGACTGGTCTTAATTAGACAGTCACTGAAAACCAGTAAGTATGAATCAACCGCTTCATCGTAATACGATACACTCTACCAGTGTGCATCGAAGACTCTTCTCGAAAGAGTTCACGACCTTCAGGTTTCATGACCTTTAGACCGCTAAGGATATATCCAGAGGTGTAAGTGATTAATTTCAATCAACTCGTCAGTCATTCAGTCATTCTGTTACAACGTAGGACCAGGCACATATGTGCATCGGTCCAAGTTGCCACACCCCATTAGCACAAAGAAATGAACATCAAATCCAAAGAAGCAATTAACTCAATGGTGTAATATATAAAAGAAAGATTGCACATAAGGATATACTACAGGAAGGAAGTTAGTTTGTAAAAAGAAAGATATGAAATAATTTAAATATTATAGTTTAAGGGAAGACAGAGAGTGTATACACATACGCCATTGTGATCGATTCTGAGTCATGTCACCCAGTTCCCAAGCATTGGATACGATAGTCATGCGGACCCCAAACAAGTAGTTTGCATCTACCAACATGGCTCAGACCAGATGTTAGTGTATTCAAGTACTGATACCACGTTTTGGTTTGGCCACCCCTAACTTTCTCCCGAAATCCCCCAACACCAGTAAGCATTGCGCGTCGTGGTAATCAGTGTTCAAGCATACACAACACGTGGCCCAATCATCTCAGTCGATGAAGATTCACAACCTCATCAACTGATTAACCATCATCCCCTAATACCCTACGCCTAACCTCACTATTACCTACCCAGTGATCGCAACAGATGTGAGCAATATTTCTAAGGCATCTGTGGTCAAATACTAATAGCTTACGAGTATCGCTGACTCTTATTGACCACGTTTCGCAGCCGTAAAGTAGGACAGAACGAACTGCCGCGCAGTATACTCGTCCCTTAATTGATAGACGGATATGTCGCCTTCGCCATAGGTGACGTAAGTTGACAAAAGCCAAAACAGCTTTCTGAATTCGTGCTGAGATTTCGTCAGACACCACCCATTAGGGCTGGTCAGACCTCCAAGATAAGTGAAGTTGTCAACGCGTTCGACTACTTCACTCCCTATCCTTAGTTCAGGTGTTAACGAAAACCAGTCTTGAAGCAACAACTTGCATTTAGAGGGAGAGAAGCGCATTCCAAACATTCTGGCATTGGTGCTTAGTGCTACCAAAAGACTCTGCATTTTATCAGCTTCTTCACCAAACAGGACTGTCATCTGCGTATTCGAAGTCGATAAGTGGACCTGCTGGAAGGAGACCAATACCCGAGAAGTCAGTAGACGAGAGCGTTGTTTCCATCAGTAGGTCTATCATGAAGTTAAACAGAAATGGAGATAGTAGACAGTCTTTCCAGAACACCACTTGAGGTCACAAAAGCATATGACAGTTTGCCATAAGCTCCGACTCGACTGGCAGTGATTCAGTAAAGAGCCTTCACAAGGTCTATGTAATTCTGAGGTACGCCTTTCAATGACAGACACTGCCACAGAACTTCTCGGTCGACAGAGCCAAATGCTGCTCTTAATTCAATAAGGACCACCATTGTCGGACGCCGATAAGCATGCCTGTGTTCTAGAACCTGACGAATGGTGAATATGTGGTCGATACAGCCACAATCAGGTCTGAAGCCAGCTTGATTCTCGCGTGTTTGCAGTTCACGAGTCTTAGTTATGCCCCCGATAATGATCGAGGCTAGTATTTTAGATGCTATATTAGATATATTAGTTAAACTAATCCCTCTATGGTTGCCACAGGATGATTTTAACCCTCTCTCATATATTGGGACGATAAGTGATTGCAACCAGTCACATGGGATTACATCCAGTTCCCAGATTGTGACTAAAATGTTAGTCAACTCAATCGCCAAAACCGGACCACCATACTTAGAGAACTATGGAGCCAATCCATCTGGACCAGATGCTCTCCCCCATTTCAGATCGGCTATAGCTTTTAAACTGCAATTAAAGTCGGTGTGCCTACTTCAACATCCTATTCAGTCTGTTTAGGAATGGTAGCTAGCTGTAGAGTAGCTGAAGGTCAGCTGAACTGCTCCATAAAGTGTTCCACCCATCGTTCTAAACGTCTGGGTTGAGAGCAGATAACAGTGTCGTCTTTTCCCGAGATAGTCTCACTTACACTTGACTTCTTAATTCCAGTTTCTTTTATTAGCCTGAAAAGCTGTCTGGTGTTACATACAGCCGCTGACTTCTCCTTCTCTTTTGCTTTCGTTACCCACCACTGCTCACGGTCGTTCCTTAGACTTTTGCTTAACCTAGATCTGATTTGTTTTCGCTAGTTGTCGTGTTCGGAGCCAGATAGAATGAGTGCAATAGACTTAGCAGAAATCCACTGGTTTTTCGTTACCCTTTGGTTTAAGTCACTAGCAGATGTCACTTCTGATTCCACAGTTGCTTGTATATCTTTACAAGCAACATCTGGGTCAGCCTCGTTTTCAAAACTGACTAAGTTTAACCCCAGTTGTTTCTGGAATCTACTTTTGGCTTCCTTGTCACTGAGTTCAACTCTGATGGGTCTTCTTAATGTAGTTTTTCTGCATCCAGAGAGGCGCGAGCAAATGCACGCCCGTATTAGAGCATGATCAGAGTCTAAACGTGTACTCCAGAACGAGCGGCAGTCTTCTATAGAGCCTCTCAAACGATGACTGATGGCAATATGGTCTATTTGAGTCCATCGTTCGTTTGGTGCAGGTGGTCACCATGTTAGACGATGTCTTTCCATATGCTTAAAATTACTGCTTGCTAAAAATAAATGATTTTCTGAACACAGTCGCAGCAGACGGTCACCATTATCTGTTCGCTGAGCCGGAATACTAAAATACCCGCCTAAATGTCTTCCTGTTTGGTTTAAACTACATAACTAGGCATTAAAGTCACCTGCTACGAGTACTATGTCTGGGTGCTTAGCTTAATGAAGAAGTTCAGAAAGCTTTCTGTAAAAGCCATCTCCCACTTCATCTGAGCTGCAGTCAGTGGGAGCGTAGGAAGAAATGACGAAAAGACAAGGACGTGTGTTCCTATCCTTCCGAGTTCTTACGGAGCCGTTTAGTCGAACAACAGATGTGCGACTGTTAACGGGGATCCGTTATAATAGTGTTTGTTCTGCCCTCGTACTCAGTGCTATGCCTATACACGCCAATTCACGAGAACTAGCCATCAGGTCCCCAGATATACGGAGGGTGTATCTCATCGGCTCTCCGTTTGGCCGAGGTGAGGTCAAGTGAATGAGCACACTTGGATCCTCTATGCGTGTTTCGGAGGCACAGCATACATCAATGGTACGAGATTCTAGGGTTTTAACCAAGCAAGCCTGCTGACTGAGATTTGCATAACAATCTCCTAGTATCTGACGTGAATAACTGCTTCATAAACGACATGGTTAAATACTACTGGTTACACCGTAATTGCTTGTTTTGTTTTTATGCCCATAATTAAGAATATACAATTCGTTTCTACTCGAATCTTGCTTTTAGTATTGATTTCAGTGACAGAGATCAATTACATGTTATTGAAAAAATCAGATTTGTAGAATATCCTAATGTAAACAAAATTTATGGTACCATGATTAATTATGTCAAGAAATCTGACTTTTCACCAACCTGAAATACGGTAAGCATAGCTTGCAAAATTCCATCAAAATTAGCACGAGGTTTTTCATGTGCTATAAAATTGAATCGACCACCGAATAATTGCATACCAAGTAAAGAGCAAATAAGAATGAATATAGATAATAGAAGTAGTAGACTAGCAACTGATCGAACAGATTTCAATAATTTCCCTACTAAACTTCGCAAACTTTCCCAGTACCTAAAATTTCAAAACCAAATGGGAAAAAATGCTTGATTAGTAGGATAAACCCTATCAAGGCAGTCAAACAGGATAAATTTTTGACAAGTTATAGTTTGCACAAGAATCTGTTTAATTATTCATTAAATTAGTGTTTTGGTGTTTTGAAAAACAAAATTAATTCGTATTATAAGTTCTATTTAGACATCTACTTTCATACATTAGACCAAATACTTGATAGAAAATTTGTAATTAGAGTGTTTTTGATACTTTGAGACTTAACAAATATTTTAATTCAGAATAACCGATTATTTCCATCTGTTTTCAGTTTTATTTCTTCGTACAAAGTAGTGTAGGAATTAACAAAACGTTTTACAGAACATCTGAAGTTGTCAGGAATAAGTTCGAAAACTTATTAAAGTAATTTAGACAGGAGATTTCTAATCATCAAATCATTTTTGTGTAAAAATAAGATTGGCTCACAAACTATATGATTACTTCAAATGGTCAATTATCCAGTTATTTTTGTTGAATCTTTAGCTGATAATGTTGTCTAGAAAGACAATGAAGTTTGATTAAAAAAACCTATCCAGCCTAATAAGTCAAATATGATTAAAATCATTATCCTGATTTAAAAACTTATCCAGTTTTGTCAAATACTGAGCAAAAGAGTTTGAAGCAGTTAAGCATATATAGTGGTAGAAATGTAGACCAGGAAAATATCATTGATATTTCATTAACGCTCGAGTGTTTAACACATGGAAGACAATTAAACCATTATCTGAACGGAAATCACTCTATTTTGCATTATGTAAATCATCCATATTTACAGTAATTTTAAAAACATAAAATGTTTCACATAAGTGATTTTTCACCTAAAATGTACGGAGTGATTCAGTCTACTGATGAGAATTAATTAAAGTCATTTTTTTACAAACAAACAAGTTTATTTTATGTAAAAACAGAATAAGCGAGAGATCATGATGTAATCAACGACAAGTCTGAGTTCCTATTAATTGAATAGAAGAAACCTATCAAAATAAGGGATCAAAGACAGAAGTTTAACAAATGGAAAAAATACCAAACGATCGAAATAAGATATGCTGACGTACACACAACTCAACGAAACAGAATATCTAGCAACAAATGGTTCTCATTGTCCGAATGACCTTCCACCATGAAGAACCTCAGTTTACAAACCTTGTTAAGAGACATTATCCTGAGATAAGTCTTTTTATGACTTGCAGTACATAATTGAACTATCATACTAATTAGAACTGTAAGATAACTGAAACTGACATATTCTAGAGTAAATACTTCATAGTGGAAGCCACTCATCAGGTCAAAACATTGTACCGTCAAATATGCAGTCATTATTTTGACAATTCTTAAGACTTTTTAATAAAACAATTACGCAAATACAACCTATATTATTTTCATCACTTTGATATTGAAGTACGATTTCGCACACTTACTGAGTCAATTTAAATATCCTGAGAAGTCTTGCACAGCGTAACACAGAAACACCCATCGGATTGAGTAAACCAGATTTCACAAAAATCAATTCCAATATAGAAAATATAACTACAAAAAAGTCGAAGCGATTGAACAGTTTTGAAATATAATCTGAGAAACCAGATGCCCCCATTTTAATTAACATTTCCATTGTGAATAGCATCACAAATACAACATTAGCAAAATCTGAAATAAAAAATGAACACAACACTTTGCTCAACTGTAAAACTCCAGGTCTCTTATAAAATTTCACTAAGATAATGAAGTATAAAATTAAAGTCGTTTTCTAATTGGATGGTGCATTTACTTTCCGATTTTCTTTCGACAGTTACTAAACTATTAAATTCTAACGATAAGAAAATGAATGCAATACTCTGATCTCGCCGAAAAACGAAATTGAGTCACATAACAAACAGTTATTATACATTATTTTTAACTAATCCCAAACTCTTTATACTTTTATTCTCTAGTTAACATCAAAAATCGAGTTATGCAGTGGATGGTCAATAACATCCACATCCTAACTAATTTGATCGATGCATGTACACAGTTTCACCAATTCAGTTGCCTAATTTACCAAAAATTGTAAGATCAAACTTGATATTCAAGAATCAACGTTGGTCAACCACTAAACATTGTCTATACTTCTATTTTTAAGTTAAAATGTTAAACAAAGTATTCTGTGTTTATCCATTTATTCTTCTTCGTGAGGTATACAGGTCACTTAGTATAGGAATACTAAAGATTGAATTGACAAATACAACGGGATATTATGCTCTTCAACAGCATTCGACTGACTAAAATGCTCTACAAGAAAATAACTACATCTTTGTTAACTCAAAATAAACTTGCCAAACCACACTAGCTATATGAAGTTTTTTCGAAAAGACAAATGAATGCAAAAAGTTATACTGGTATGACAGTAACCACAAGAGCACATTATACAACACTTAATTTAATGTCCATAAACAATAATGAAAACAAAAATAAAATAACAGTAACACATTTCAATTAAAATCAGTCGACCAACCTTGGAATTCGTCTAACCATTCTGGTTGATTGTGATGTTCAGTGGTTAAGACTACTGTGTTAAGAAAAACCAAGATAATAACTAATGCAAAACATTGGCGGCTGTTGATAAAAGCAATCACAGCTCGTCGTGTTCGTTTACGGAATTTTCTTAAACGGCTAAAATTTTTCCAGTGAAAATCAACAGAAAAGGGATTTGGTTCAGCTAATAATTATCAAAATTTTTACAGTTATTATTTCGTATATCATTTTCCAGGTGTCTTTGTTCAAACTAGTTTCTGTAATATATGCAGTCAAGTTTTATCATTAAAGAACAACAACACTGGAAACGTCTCAAATATCCTACAAAGACCTCAGTTCTTATACGCGATAAATAAAGTCTAAAAGTCATTTTTAGACTCATTTGGAAGGAAATAATGAATAACTTAGTGTATTGCGCTTGTCCTGAAGATATAATTTAAATATGAAATAAAGAACTTCGCTTTATGCAGAGCGTTTAATTTGATGTCATTTTGTGTTATTTATGTATCAGGGCAAAGTGAGTTGTGATTGTCCATGACTGTAGATTTACGTATCCAATTATATTAAAGAGCAGAGACATTATATGTTATACGTTATTTCACTATGAACTACACAGGAGATAACACATGACTCCTAAATACTTTTTCAAACTAACCTCATTGTGTTATATATGGTTATCAATCAATCAAACACTGGAATTTTTGGTTGAAATTTAAGACTAAACTTTCCGAATCCATGATTTCACTGGACTTCTAGTTATAACAGTTCCCAGCACCTTTTTTAACTATTATGCAGTCAGCACACTTGAATTATATGGTAGTTTTCGCCACGAGCGAGCATGAGCTGAAGAATTATAAGGGGCGATGAAAAAGAACATTTTTTCATCATTGGATGGTTCTCTTCAGCAGTACTTGCCGAAAAACCTATAAGTGACTGAATCTGAAGGGAGTAACTGAAAATAATTCATCACTAGCACGAGTAAGATACCCATAAGTGATGAAAGCATGTGAACATCGCAATACATGACTAATTTATTAGCCATGAAGTTTTGTCTCAGTGACCTAAAGATACCAGGATCACTTCTAAACCTGAAGGTTCCCGGTTCAACATTCACTGTAATGGTAAGTGAAAACCTCCGTGGAGACTAAGATAAGTCAAAACAGCTGTTCAACTCTTTACGATTTTCACTGATTCTCAGATTGTTCCCAGTTTGTGATAAAAAAGTGCATAAATACAAATATCAGCAACTTCTAAAATAAACTAGATTTGTGTCAAAATAAGTGTCTAGTCAAGCTGTTGATCGTCACAACGAACGATGCCGAATCTGACAAGCACATTAAATAGCAGTAGGATAAACAAAACATTTTATAAGTTCATTTATACATAGAATAAAAGATGAGTTGAATATTAAATACTCCGCGTATGTTTTGATTAGAGTTTTCTGAATTACTAAAATGTATTGTAACAAAATAACCAAAATTACTCATAATTAATAGTTTACGCCATCTAGCAATTCGACCTAATCATTCAAATGAAATGTAAAATGTCAAGTTTTATTTGTTTTGATATATCTATAGTTGATATATTATTTTTTAATGATAGGTTTGACAAATAACCACTTTTTAATATCTAGATTTTATTCACATATGTTCTCAAGTTACTAAGATCATCTGTTAATTACTATATTGCATCCAAGGCAAATGTGTTGCATCGTCGAGCCTAATATAATTGTATTAAAATAACTAAACTACTAGCAATTGATGTAAAATACACTAGAAGGCTTGGAAAGTTTTAAGTCACTTATGTTCAATTCAAAAAAATTCAGATAATCAGACTGGCTTTAGATAAATTATATAATTGCCACTTACCGAAGTGTGCTATGACAGTGTGTTTTAACTACCTCCTCAACATGCATCTCGGGTTCCTCTTCAATTAGCCCATCACCACCATCAACTAAAAAAATTAAATATTTAACTAATTTCAGTGAAACAAATAAAAACCCAAAAAGTATGAACTGTTGTAACTAGAAGCCGCTGACCAACGTCACGTATCCCATCACCAATCGAAATCATAATTGTAATTTGGTCTACTATTAATTCTATAGCTTAGTGTCAATTACACACCCAACCAGCATTATTGACTTTGAGCTAGCAGCCAAGTTACTATTGGTCATCTATTCGCTAGCTCTTCTGTATGCTAAACTTTTGATTTCAGAAGTAGCAACCAGTCCCAACTATATTTACATTTCAAACAAAAGTATTTTATGTACAGAAATACCAGATTGAATGGCACCATATGATGAAAAACTAACAATTACACATAAACAAACTAAAAGTGACTATGAATCTGGGAGATAAAGAGTAATAGACTGGCAATAAATTATGAATAGTAAATCGTATTGTGGTAATTTATTAGTTAACCAAAAGCTTATAATAAAAGGAATAAATATACATGGAAAACTATTTATTCAGTAATTATACAATAAAATTATAATTAATAATCAATCGAAAAGCCAGTTCTAACTTCAGTAATATTTATCGCATTATAACATGTACTCAATAATTGAACTAGACAATTATTATTGATATGAGAAACAATTTTTCTTGTTAAAATAACAGTTACATTATAATACTTCAAAATGAAATTAATTATAATATTAGGTTGCTATAACCAAAATGAATGATTAGTTACTAACCAATAAGAAAATAAAACATTTAATTTAGTAAATAAATCTATCTATTAATTTTAAATCATGAAATTGTTAATACAATTAAAATTGAATTTCTCTAAATATCAATGACAAACATAATTTATAAACGACATATACAGAATATTATACAGATATCCTATTCATCTACAGTTTCAATTCTAATAAATTTAAATTAACTAGCCATTTATTTCTTAAATTTTAATTGCTAAATACTTTTTAGTTTTATGTAAATTATGAGTAAAAGAATAAAAATATCAATTATCAAGTATTATTTTTGAAGTAGATAAATGTTTCATCTCAAAAATAATTACTATTTTGGTGAAGTTTTGTTATCTTAGCTGGATAGTTTGATCAGAGTACTTTCATCGTTATTCTAAACGAAATCATCAGCACAAACTTCAGATAGAAGTCTTCTACTCCACCATAATCATCCACCTGAGCTACAAATCTCTACCCTAATTCAAAGCAAAGAAAATATGGTCTATCAAACAGCGATCAACTCTGATACATGTCACTCATTGTCGTCAATCGCTGGTTAAAAATCGCTCGAACCTTTGCCAGACAGTCTGCATACGCCTACATGGTTTAGTTCGCCTTTCGATGGTTTAATGGACTAATCTAAGTCCTTGGTTTGTCTCCCTTTATGTTTCTTCTACCCTATTCCCATAATAGATAATACCTCCCGCCGATGTAGGCGGTGGTTAAGTATATATACACATGTCATAACAACATCAGATGATGAAAACTCACAACCTCACTAATTGATTTGTCTTATTTACTTAGTACCCTATCCCTAACCTCCGTATTGCTCACTCAATAGTCCCAATATACACCACCTACCCTATGAATAAACCTATCGTCAAATAATAACAAACTTAAAAATATACTTTGCTTTTAATTAGCCACGTTTCACGCCTATAAAGTCAAACAGAGCAAATTGGTGTTCATTAAGCCCGTACGCTGACGGACAAATAGACATCTAGTCTACGATTCGGGTGAGGTAAATTGATAAAAGACAATCTAGCTTTTTGAATCTGTTAAAAGATTGTGTCAGATATTGACACACTACGATTGATGCGACATTCGAGGTACAAATATATTCTATCTATTGATAATTATCAAATGATATAAGAAAACTAACCTGATTCTATATCTTGACTTTCTTTATCATCACCTTCAGAATCACTTAGTTCCTCTAAAATGAAATTTAAAGAAATAGAAATCATAAGAAACATGGCGGAAATTCGATGGATTGTTTTCTGTTCACAGTTAAAAAACAATGTGATAATATTGTAGTTAAGACATAAACATATTAACAGTTGTAGTAACAACAACAACAACGATAATAAATAGTGAAGGAGGTTGACAACAATGATTTACTCATTAAAAGTGAATGAATCATACTAACAAGAGAGCAATATATGGAGCACAACACTAAGCTTATTATTGATTGGTGTGTCCACCTTTTAATTTACATACATATATACACACACAAAGCAGATTTTCAACCTGAATGCGTATACATGTAAAAATACACATATGTACAATGTAAATCACAAGAATTATTCTTTTTTCAATAAAATGCACAATAAGTAATGAATTGTTTTTACAAAAACACCATTTACTAACTACTATTTTGCAAAACATTTTACTTTAAATTTGAATAGTTTTGTCTCCTGGGAAAGAAAACCAAAAAGTTAGGACAAAAAATTGAGCAAACTAAGACTGAGAAGAAATCAATAGGAAATACGTTACTGAATAACTAAATAAGTCTTGATAAGTGTAATATGAAGATGTTATATGAAGTAGTGGAAAATATTTTTTTATCCGAGTAGAAATAAAACTCGATCAGAAGGAGCCCGGATTAAGTCACTTATTATAAAGAGTTTTGCATCTTTTTATTAGTTTAAGCAGTATGATAATCTGAATTTTTACGATTTCATTTCACATTATACTATCACTACTATTCTCATTGCTTCACTAAACGGTTGTTTTTTCAGTAGGTTGCCATAACGATAATAAGTGAATAAAACAGTTGTTCTAGTGAATGAAAAAGCTTCAGAAAAAAGAGAAAGTATTCTTGATGAGGTCATATTTTTCAGAATTAATTCTAAGAATTTTGGAAATATATGAACCACGTATCATAGCAGTTCAAACATAATTTAAATATTATGTACATTGATATAGCTACACTGTTTGACTACTGAATACTGATTAATAACGCGTTTGTTTAATCCTTAATGCTGGTCGAATTCTATAAAGTTACCATATTTAGTTCTTTGGTGTTGTTCGGACACTACGGATTTGTGGAAGCAACTGAGATTGTAGAGGTGATTCCATCAAGAGTGAAGGTGTACCTTGTTAACGAATCCCTCATAGAACAAAATGTAAACCCACATTTTCCTACCAACATCCTAACAGATATGAATATTTTATACAAATAGTCCCCTTTATCATCTTCAAGAGAACAAGAACAAAGATTCTAACTGACGGAATATTCGTTCTTGCTCTCTTCAAGATATGAATATATCTATGCTATTATATATGGTAGCTCAAAAATGTGTCTATTCATATTTAAAAAATGATTCTTAAGATCAACAACCTAAGAAGAAATCGTGACATTTAATAACATTTATTATTAATCTGAGTAACCATTCATATAAATCCCGTACATTTTTCTATTACATTATACTTGGTTACACATAACAAAGGCTTGTAGACTTTCATTAATCAAACTGTTTTCAGTTCTCCAGAACTAAGAGTATGAAGTTTATTGTGTCGTGAATATATGAGAATCATATGAGAACTTTTATGCAACATGGTTTTACTGTATGTGACTCTTTAAACATTCCTGATGCCTTAAACTTAAAACCTATTTGGATAATTTGTATCAAAATAAACCTTACTTAAGTAATCTATCACTTTGTTTCACTGTCAAAATCAACTGTTGTTTCTTCCAACTGTGAACGAAAAATTTTTTCACTTAGGGAGATCACATACTATAACTACAAATTTTTATTAACTACGTAAAAGTGAAATGTCCTTGTATTTACGAGATAATTACGTCAACATACTTTAATTTTAATTAATATAGAATAGTTGAAATGTCTTTAAGATTAGACACCTATTTCGTCCTATCTAGGACTCGTCAGATAGTGTATTTGAGTCCCGAAGTTGATGTCTACTTTGAGATTCAAATTCCACCTATTCTAAATAAACTTGCGAAAAAATAGCTATATCGATGCGATCCACACAGCATGTACAATAAACGTCTAAGACTAATGAGAATCCAGTCAAAATATCAACAGCGGGATAATCCAAATCATTACAAGTTAGGATTCAACTTTATTAACGTGAAAATGATCAATTTCTATCGATAATCTACGTACTGTTTCTCACACAATACTTTTAACCGTTAAAATATTTAAGCACTGATATAATTTGTATACGCTGAACTATATTACAATGTAAATAATCAATATTAATAACCAGTTAATTAATTTACCAGCTAATTCAATCCATTCTTTATAACCCATATAATCTTGTTGTTCACGTTTTTCTTGTCTTTCTTTACGAAACAATAAGGTACGATCTATTTTTTCTTTTTCCTTACTGAATTCACTGGAAAACAGAAATATACAATAACATGGGAGAAATAAGCTTACTTAAAGTATTTTTAAACTGTCAATACGATATTAGTTTCATTAAAAGCAATTAGTCCCTTTTATAAATTTCAATACAACAATGAGAAGACGGAGTTGATCTGAAATATGTGATGTATTTGCGCTATACATTTCCAACATTCTAGTCATACATGTACACACATATATAAATTTAGGGTATATTTAAACCCCTCTTATGTGTACAAAAACAATTTGTCGTAATCTTGAATTTACCTTGGTAATCCTTAAGTTATTCTATGGCTTAGGATAACGGGACAATTTCTTGGTCTTTCTATACTATGAAAAATTGTTTCTCCTCTTTGTTACTTTTTACTTGAACTTTCATTTAACTGACCTTTATTAATTTTCGTATAAAATGCCCTGACAAGTATATCTGTGGCCAGATTGTTCGAAATGTATAGCTCACATACATCACATTTTTCAGATCAACTCCGTTTTCTCATTGTTCTATCAAAATCAGTTTCATTCATTACTGAATGATATTAGCAAAATATATATATAATAACATTGAAGAAATAAGCTTAATTAGAGTGCATAGAAAAATTACTGAGAAATCTGTTTTATTTTACTTTGGTATTATACAACAGTGAATAATCATGATTACATGCAAAAAGAGAAGTTCAAATTGTTCATGAATTGCTTGAAATGTAATTTTATGTTAGCTTATCATCTTGAAAAAACGCAGATTTTCCATTTCAATTGATTCATAATGTCTTTACAATCAATATACAATGCTATCTGTGGTATTTATCTTATGAAAATGTCGTCTAAAATGTGATAATCATGTCAGCATAGTAGCGTAGTTCCTATTCAGTTGTTTGTCCACAACTGTTGTTTTTTGTTTACAAAAAAATTGACCAACAAAAAAACCTATGTCAATAATTTGTGAATAATTCAATAGGCTAATGAATGTCCACATTTGTTTAAATTGGATAACAACATTTCAGTGATATGAAGCAGATTTTGTACATTAAATGGATTTTCCATTCAAATGAAGCATTCAGAAACGTCTATTTTTACGTTTGTTAAAAAAGACAGCTATTAATAGTAGTTAGACAATCTAGGTAATAAAACAAACCTTCCTCATGATTTTTTATAAAGTGTTGTAAAGCGATTTGTAGAAAAAAACAAGCTCAATGATTTGATGTAACCTATGATAAATGTAGGCTTTGTAAGGAAGATTTTATACATATGTATATACATTTACAAAAATGAATCCAGCTTTTAAAATTGAAATTGAAATCCATCTACATAAATACAATCAGACTAGGAAGAATGATGTTGCCCGTTTCATCAAATATTACCCTATGAGATTATAAACTTAGAGTACTCCTAAACAGTTTTACTTATTTCAAGATTATTATTTTTAGAACAGAACATCATTATCCGATTACTCTATTACTTTAACACGAAAATCCCGGTTTATAAGACAGAAACTAATTTATCAAAAAAACATAATATTGTAAAAACAAGGGATTTTATAGTTAAACTAGAAATGAGATTTGTCAATAAACTGAGAGATTTGATAAGATATTCAGGAAAATTAAAATTATTTCATTGCCAAAAATGTTACTCAAACACTGAATTTTTATCACAAAATTTTATTAACACTTTATTTTAGAACTCTCTATATGAGATCAGTGATATGAACACATTTATAATCAGCTAAATTAAGTAAAGAAATAAAATCTAAATTAACAAACAACCTAACCTCAAGGTGTATATTATTCATCTTGTCCTCAGGTGTTACCTTGTGTTATTCTTTGATGATTGTTTACACATGTTTCACCTATTTGCATAACAATCGCTTAAGGCTTTATGTCAAAATATACCTGCAAATATGTTGAACTTATATAATTTTCTAATGAGTTAATTTTTCCATGTTTTAAAATGTACGTAGTTCTTAAATTCTGTCAATGTTGTTCACATTAAAAATCATATTTACTTCTATCTTGAATCAAAACGCCATATAATACAAATTTGTCATCATCTAATGACAAATAATTGTAAATATATAATTAATTACAATTATCGAAATTTCGTCGAATTTTTTAACTTGGTAGTTCTCATAAATTATGAATACGTACAACCATTTGATTGATATAGACAATGAATTCAATACTAGACTGATAGGTCCTGAGTTATCATCTCACGAGGAGAGATCGTGGATGCGCACTGCTGATTAGTCCCACAATAGGACGAAACGGCCGTCCACTGCTTCTAGGTTTTCTATGGTGGTCTAGGTTTGATTGACTCATGATCTCAACTATTGAAATTGCTATAATATCCACAAAAGTCGCTTCTGATATTAAAATATAATTGTTTGAAAATTACTTAGTAGTCGTGATAGAAATAAATTTTATCACAATAATTACATACCCGCTTAGTACACCAAGAACAAGATTCATAACGAAAAATGAACCAAGTAGAATAAGGGTTACAAAATAAATCCAAGGCCACCAGGAACCAATAGCATCAGACACCTATCAAATTAATTTTACAATAGATTAAGATAATTTAGCTATAGAACAATAATTCAAATACAGCATGAATACTTCATTTATAATAATCATTTGAATTTGTCTTATTAATGATGAAAAACAAATATTATAATTTTATGAAAAATAAATAATTTGCTTCCGATTTCTCATCAACCTGATTATACTTTTACTGTGTACTCCAAAATGCTTTTTTCTCGAAGTTACACAATACTTAAGAAGCATAATTATATTATTCTATATCACAAAATAACAGAACAAACTATTCATTAAATGATTCTATCTGATTGTCATTCGTATTAAGCATGAGAAAATACTCAACTTACATAATACCCAGTACTAGTCCAACCTTCCATTGTAATACACACGAAAACAGTAAGCATAGAATATAGAAAATTATCAAAGCTAACGATACCACCTTCAGGACCAGTGTATCGTTCTCCTTCTTTGCCATACATATCTGCACAAAAATAATCTGGCCCAAGTTCACTGCATTTAAATCCCATTGATGATGTTTCAAATGTACATGGTCGAGGATTCGGCATCATCTCAGCTACAGGAATTTGTTGCACAAAAATTCTCATAAAAAACTCGAAATATATAATTTGTTTAAATTAAAATAAATCATTTACATTCAGAAATAATGTGACTAGGTTTTACCACTCTACCTGAAAACACCAATGCAAAAAATCAAGATTAGCAAATGTCAGAGTATTGGTAAACATGAATTTGTTTGAATTATTCAATTTTTGATTACCTGAAGAGTAACTTGATTCAAAATAGTTAATTACTCTTCAAAAACCCTTAACTGTCTGTATTTATTTTGTATGCAATACATGACACAGCTAAAAAGTACTTCTTTAATATACTTTCACTTGCGAATAGGTAAACCCTAGTTAAATGATAATGTATATCGACATTAAACTATACAATGTTGGACACCTACTTAAATCACGTCAATATAGTCCTCAAGTAGTAACCTTTGTCTCGTTTTTCTAGTCCCCCGTGTTGACTTAATTTTGTGAATCGATTTGAAATGTAGTCACTTGTCCCAGTGATTAAACGCTAGACGTACTACATTTTGGCGTTATGGTTCGGAGATGAAAGAAGTATTCTATGTGGCGTCTAACAATACTAAATGTTTCATATTTAACACCATATACTGATATATTGTAAAGGATTTTAACTTTCATTCCGAAACTAAAGAATCTTAGCAAAAAGTATAACTTATGGTGACTTCTTTTCATATTTCCCAACGCGGTTTTACTCACTAAATAATGTGTATTGTGGGTGTTTATATCCATAAACTTCGATGCGAAAACCACTGTATTATCACCACTTGGCTTCAGTAGTATTTGTGTCACAAAAGGTTTTGAACTTTGCATGAAAACTAACGGGCAAATGATACATAGACTAGATATGACTTGTTGCTTAAAACAAGTGTAAAAGAGTGGAGCGTACGGTATTATTCACACACTTTAAAAATACGTGACCTAAAAAGACGACTTAACCGTTCAACATTGACATATCTGGTTACATGATGATATTTGTGTTTATTTCTTAAGAGCAACTTACGAATTTTATGTGTTGAATTTTTATAACAGGTTAGGTGTAATTTGCTCTGAAATAATTCAAGGCCAACAATTGCATAAACAATAATGACAAAAATTACAAGCAGTGCAATATGCAACAATGGAACCATGGCGGTAATGATAGAGTTGAGCACAACCTGAAGGCCTGAATAAAATTAATGGGAATTAAAATGTTATTAGATACGGTAAATATAATTGAAAATCAGAAAGAAAAATACAGTGGTTTTGCGACTAAAAGGAATTAACTGTGAAACAACACAAATTATTTGTGAACAAAACAAAACTAGTTAGATATTGTTCGATGAAAATTTCACAGTAAGATCATTTCAGAAGAACATTATCATTTCAGTGAAATTCGTATACCTTCCAGTAAACCGAACTACATACAAATTGAGACTTGTAAAATCTTTAGACATTCTTATCTAACATAGCTCTGTTGCTAAACGAATTTCTATAAAGTTATCCAGTGTGAAACAGAGCTATTATGTTTAAAAATGAAATTGAAATATTTTAAGCTTGAAACATTACTGTCTTAATAAGTCAAACATCATTTGCGATTGTCCGGAAGTATAATAGAAGTTTAAAAGCTCTTGGTAACGTTTAATTTTTAAAAATTTCATATATATATGCCAGATTAATCACTTACTAGGTAAACCAGAAAGTAGTCTCAACGGTCGTAACACTCGAAATGCTCGAAGGGCTTTTACATCGATATTCATATTTTCCAATGCTTTTGATGATAAACTGAAAGAACAAAATAGTCGATAAATTATTGTTACTACATCTTTTTTCCGTAGAAAACTATGAACGAATCTGCTAAACTTAAGTACATTATTCAGAACATTTTATTAAGTAATGAGTTCCTTTGATTTATTACAAGTAGCACGGTAGCTTTAGATTCACTTCACTTAAAAACAGCTCAACTTGGCCTTTAAAACGTAAGTATATCGTGAAATGCATGAGTATATTTGTAGATCATTTTGTAGTAAAACCCTAGAGAAAAGTTATCAAGACTGTCATTTGGGCACCGATCTATGAATTTCATGATGTACTTCAGAATATATATATATAATTTCTGTTAATAACTTTAACCAGGTATAACTCAAAGTACATTTAAGCCTTTCTTCGTTAAAATATTTTAAATTCCAATTAGAAACTTAAATTACTTGATTGTTAAATAAGATTTTGTTGAATATATGGGAAAATGAGTGAAAAACATCGAACACTGAAGACTATTTCATGATGGACTGTTATGCAGATTTTTACTGTGCATTTGTTTACCATTTAGATTTTAAAATTTTTATAATTTCTTAATTTTATACTTTCATTTAACTCATTAAAACTGTTGATATATGTTTTAATGGTCGTTATTTATTGTTAGTTGATTATTCACCTATTACTCGGCTCCGCATCATAGATGAAATAGTTATCTACAAATTATGATTTCTCGTTTGTCGTGTCCAGTAGTCTCGTAAATGATACACATTATTATGTTAGTTTTTGATTTTCAATTTAGAACAGATTTATGCTCTTTGTATGAGATTTCTTTCAATAATAAGATCTTTTTAAAACTAAGAAGGATTTTTAACATGACCATAAATGTTCTACAAAATAAGAAAAACCAATTGAATCAAGATAAGCTGCTAACATACCCAATTAAGACTATACTGAAATCTAGAACATTCCAAAAATTCCTTAAATAAGCATCTTGATGAAGGACAAATCCATAGGCAATAATTTTTAAAGCGGATTCAGTTGTAAAAATTATGACAAATGCAAGTTCAATTTTTTCCTACAAAAAAAGTGAAATATAAGAGTCCGTTTATACAAATAAATCCTCTAGACATGCTTAAAAACGAATGTTAGGGTTATATTTAAGGGGTGTTTTAGACGTTTAGTAGTTACATCGAATCTCTAGAAGTATAATCATCGGAAAATTTTCTTAAGTGAATAGTTAATAACTATACGTGTCCAAGGAAAACTGAAAATCAGATGCGCTATGTGAAAGTAACATAGTAAGCTTCAATTTGAAACTGTTTATACATGATATAATTCAATAATACGAAAAGATTATAGTATTGATAATAACAGTCGCTTTCCTTATAGCTATATGCTTGGTCACATACAGCACATAGCTACCAATTCAGAAGAAACTTTAATCTTATATCCATTTTATTTATGTATTTTTGACTTCACTTTTTTTATCCTATGATTTATTAGAATTCCAATATGGTTGCATTTCATTTCTTCAAAGTACGAAAGAAAAGTGAAGTACTGTAAATCACCGTGATAGCTTGAATTTTGTATAGATCAGCCAATGCAATATGTTGCAAAAGAGTGTAGTTATTATATGTGATTAATCAAACCAAATAAGTCCGAAAAACATGAAAATTATTTGCGATCCTTACAAAGTTTGAAAACGTTAACCTAAAATTTTGAGCAAACCGTGTCATATATTAGTATTACAATACATTATTTCATTCATGTGACTCGGAAATAATTAGTGGTTAAACTGTTTTCAAATAGACGTCTTTCTGGGAGAGAGAGAGAGAGTAACATGTTCGCTTATTTCACCAATAATAACATAGTGATTCCATCGTTTCATATTTAGGCACATAGACAAAAAAATAAACTATGGTATGATGAAAACGTATTTGTAACTTAGTTACAATTTCAAAGTACACTGATGACAATTAAACCACTCGTACATTTCGGCGATTTAAAACTTAGATATTTCCAACAGTCTCAGTAACAAAGTGAAGACTGCTACTTCAGAACAGTTATAATTAATACTTATCGTTCACCTTACTTATCCGGATAAATAGGCAATACTGTACTGTTTTCTTTATATGCATATAAAAAAACTGGCACTTACCATAACTTGGAAGTTAAAAATCAAATTACATGCTTGTAACAACCAAAACCATATTACAATTTAAAAAACCATACTTACCAAAACCTGATTTACGGCATTCGAATCTTCTCCAGGATAAGGATGATTGAATGCCAGTGCCAAACAGTTACATAATATCGTTGCCAATATAAAATATTCAAATGGTCTAACCAATATATATTATTAAGAAGCATAGTCTTATATATCAACATATATATATATATACATGTTTATATATATATATATACATGTATATATATATATATATATATATATATATATATATATATATATATATATATATATATATACTGATTAAGTAGTTTGGTGAGGACCAATTTAATTTCCAAAAGGTGTCTGTCAATAGTCGATCTCAGTACCATCGGAGACCAAAGAGTACTGGACAGCTACTTCGTTTTAATATGAAACCCTTCAGTATTCAATACTTATGACCCTAGAGAGATCAAATCAATAATATTAAAGTCTCTCATTTCCTTAACGATCATCAGAACCAGTGTTTCAGATTTACAACTTCAGCTAATTCGTGAAGCAGCCCAACTTATTTTCATTACAAATTGGCTGGTGACGTAAATGTGTATAAACAAACTGCAATGTAGTGTTTCTATTGCTTAATCATTCACCATGAAAAACTCAAAGATCTCGGATAAGCATCTATGGCGAATCCCATACTCAAACGAAGCAGCCCTACAGCCTGCCTAGTTTTCAATGGTGTTAAGATTGATCGATATAGAATACGTTCTACACATCTTAACTCTTAATTACTAAGTATTTCAAGCGTCTCTTAAAAATCCTTAATCACAAAAAGAATGTAATCGAACCTTTAGTATTTAAGAAATTAACTAGGTTGTCTATATATATATATATATATATATATATATATATATATATATATATATATATATATATATATATATATATATATATAGATAGATAGATAGATAGATAGATAGATAGATAGATAGATAGATAGATAGATAAGTTATGACTTATCACTTGGGAGACCATGTTTCTTTGGAGTTTGGAAAATATTACTAAAGAATACTTGAACCTAGTGATTTGCAAAAAGCAGTGTAATATATTTAATTACATAGCTAGATTTTGAATTAAAAGTTTGTTTAGAGAAAATCGAAAAAATTAGATTATATCTGTCATGAAATCTAAAGCATCCGATATCTGAGCCAACTGATCATTATTATTATTTTGTCTAGTCAACAAAATCATTTACTTAAGCTGTACATTTGCATTTATTGTTGTTTTATAAATAACTAAGTATACAGGAAGACAGAAGAGATTGCACAACAAAATGCTTCAAGATTCAAAATATTAAATAGAGGTTGCATCCAAAAGAGAATTATCGCTGAATTTCCTTTATTTTTATTTAATGACACAATGTGTTAATTTAATTATTTTGTCTAGTTCCTAATACCTATCAAGTTTAAATATGATTTGTTTACTGCAGTCTTAGAAGACATTAGTGTTTATCTGAATATTTTGGTGGTATCTCCTTTCAGTTTGATTAAAATGTGTTCGAATCCTTTACGGAAGTATCACATACAACAAGATTGTAAATGTACCTTGATTTATTAAAACTAACTAGCATGAAACCTAGTGTATTAAGCCTAGTCTCTAACCAGGTATCATTTCTAATATCATTTATTTCTTAACTAATTGGAATGATTTTTGTTTTTCTACAGAATATAATCAGAGCACTGAAATTAATCGGATTCATTTCTTTGAAGTTCAAGGTTAATAAATAGAAATTGTAGAAGATTATGTAATCTAAGCATTATGATATTCTACGTTATATTTGAACTTTATAATTAAAACTCAATACAACTGCAGTTGAAAACACATCTACCTTTGTGTTAGTGAAAATATTGTTTTATTAACTTGCTTATTTTCCATCATCTGATTTGCAGATCACCAGTTACATATAGCACATTGTAGTATGAAAATATTTCACAACTTAAAGTGTTGCCACAATTCTTAACATGAAGATTGTAACTTGTTTGCATGTATGAAATAACAAGGGAAACGAACATAATTTCGATTCCTTCATTTTTGATTCAGTATTTTGTTTATAAATTCATGTTTGTATTGGTTGCTTTAGTCTTCCTACTGATGTTTAAGACTGCAACTGATCCGTCTCTCATTGGCATATGTTCACCATTTACAGAACGCCTTGATATTACCATAAATCACATGCATTGTAAGCAAAGACGGATGGTGGCTAGCAGTGGAATCTAGGGTGCGATGGCGTTTGAAGCAAACAATACCGGGCTTGAGTCCCGGAGTGAATATCAAACGTGGGATGCACGTAAGCCCAGCTAACGAGTCCTGAATGAGACGAAACGCTCTTCCTGGATTCCACTGCTAGTCACCATTCATCACTGATTTCATTCATAAATTTTTCTGAATGAGAATTTGAAGAATAAATTTTTCCATAATTTGAAGATGTCACGTATTCCATCTTCACTTAAAAAATGTATTTTTCAACATCGATCAGTGCATAGATGAACAAATCTGTTGTTAGGCCTGTTTGCATTTTATGTATCCCAATAGTAAATTCCTATTGGCTTACTATAATACGAAATCTTGTTTTCTCCAAACATACCTAAATGGTTTGTGTCCATAATTGCCTAGCCACAATCGTTGTTTGTAAAAATCGATTTGAAAGGAAACATGATTGAATTTGTTCACATGTGTTTAGTTCAGTAAGTGTAGATCACAATAATATACACATATGTATATACCACTACAATTAGATAAGCACACAGGCACATATTTTGAACAACCTCACTTTGTGTTATACATTCTGTGCACCATGGGTAAAAGAATTATTTCCATTCACCATACGAGATTATTGATTTATTATAAAAAAATAGAATGAAATAAGCTTTAATTTTACAAGACAATAATAATGACTTGGATTAACAAAATATTAAAAATCTCTGATCCTAAGAAGTCTAGATAATCCTAAACCGAAAATCGATTAATAGGATATTTGATCAAAAAAGCAAAATGAAACTATTTTGTCTGGCGTAAAAGACTTCCAATAAACATATTGATTATTATAGAATCTTTCTGGAACTAAATTATAAACAATTATTTGTACCTGAATAGCTAAACAATGTGCAGTTAAGCTCCAGACAAACTGACACATTTTTAATCAGAAGGGTGTTTATGTGTATTTGTTCACGTGCGGAAAATCCAACAAACAACTCCAAATAAAGCCTTTCAAAACACAAAATAAGGAGTAAACTAGCTTACAAGATAATCACCAACACTGAATAGTCATACGCTGATTATAGCGTAGTACATATTCAACTGACTGAAGTGAAGTGGTTATGTCAATTTGTCAAATAATTAAACCTACAAATCACATTATTCAAATTATTCAAAATTAGAAAGCAAAAGTCTTTAGACACCATGAGCTTAGACCAGCTGATTGCAAAAAGGCAAGGTTCATCAAAACTCAACTCTTTCTCGACTACCTCTAAACTATTTATGCCCTAGTGAAACCGTAAGAAAAATAATATTTACACTACACTGGTTGAAAAAGCTCTATTAACATCGTGACCAACGAGTTACCTAATGAGTGAATTCTGATTAAGCTGCGGGACATGATTCGTTTTATCCAACATGAAACTGTCATTGTACCTAAAACTGATAATTTATTACATAAAGTTATTTGAATACAACTAAATAGGTGAGCGAAGTAAAACTATAACAAGCTTATAAAATCTTGGTGTATTTGAACTGTGACCACACTGGAATCCAGGAAGCGCATTTCATCCCACTTGGTACTCGTCAACTGCATACATCTGAATCCTAGTGGTCATAATTGCAATCACACTTGAACCTACTACCAATATGTTTAAAACTGATCGTATTATCTACTGACCTTCTGAGTCGAGATGCCTGTAACAAAACGTAATAACTAGGCATCCATAGAGGATGCGATTGTGCCAAGAAAGACTGACAAGATTTCAGTCCTGAAAATCAATAATGGTATAATACAATCCTCTGCGAATAAATTTATAAAGTTGGAATAATTTATTAGTTTCAACGATAATCTTTTTCACTTCAAACTGAATTCAGTGTTATTATATAATATGCATGGTAGATTTATACCAACAAGAAGCTATACAGTCTATATAACATTTTTATATAAATAAGCTAAAGACACGTCCTTTTACATCTATTGAGAACAAGTGTATGAATTAAACTGTACTCATAAATCTACAACTTGAAATGAGTTTTATGTGATCCCATAATATAATATCAGCATTGAAATACACAACTAATACAATAACAATTTATGTCTTGTTGAAATTATATTCAACTAATATCCATTTACGGGTAAGATATGATGATATTGATGAAACACCTTTATAAAATCCAGTAAATTCTCCATATATTTAACGAGCAAAACTAAAGATTGAAAAGTTACTTAGTACTGTGAAGGATTATCCTAAATACTGTGATGAGTAATTCTTAATGCGTGGTAGAATTGAAACAAGTAGAACATTCTCATATCAAGGTAGAATATGGTAGTGTTCCTGTTAATGAATACACAATATCGTAGCTATGAGGACCTTTTTTCCAAATTTACATTGTCACTGGAGAAATTCATGATTTTTAAACCAAATAGACACTGGTACATAAAAAGAGTTCATCTGTTAGCATTAGCGGCGACAGAAGACAAATTTCACAACCATATATCTCGGTTATTTGGATAAGAAAAACCATTCTTAATCCATTAAACAAATTCAAATCTACTAAAACAAAGGATACCGTGCATCCACTATACATATACAAACTCTTCTAAGAGGATTCTTCTTTGTCATCAAACATAATGAACGATCTGTTCGAAATTGAGGACAAAGCTTTTTCTTCTTCACCTCACCACGTTCTTTAAGAGCAGCAAGCGCTAAATCAGCTATGAGGGGTTTGTTGCTTTGTAGAAATGCATTTCCTCCTGAACCTGGAGTGCCCCAAGGATTTTGCCCAGGTGTTGGGATCATGTTAGTGAAAGTTTAAAGCTCCGATTTCAAGTTGACCCTACGCAAACGGCAGATAATATAGAAATGTAAGAAAATTTTCATAAAATTTTCATTTAAGTTAACAGCATAGAAATACTTGTATATGTTAGTAAACATAACACGATGATAAGCCTTTATTACGTAACATGAACATGTTAACTAAACTTCGTTAAATAATCTAATTTGTATGTCTATGTTTCACCCATGGTAAAACAGTTCAATAAAAAATAACGAATACATCATTTAAATGGAAGACGATGATAATCGATTTCTTACTAAAATATTAAAAAAACATATAGTATTACTTAAACAGTGATTTGTAGGAATTTATTTAGGCTTACCCAAATAGGTAAGTAAATTATTAATTAAGCTAGTTATCTGTAGATTAGACTAATAGATTAATTTCCCTCTAGAGATGTAAAGTATTCTGTCAGGAAACACAAATTAGAATATAGATTTTCTCTCTCATTTCAGTCTAAACAAACAGTTACGTGAAAAAGGTCGAATACATCAAAAAATTTCGTTTGTAATTACAAATTTACACGTCGGCATTTAACCACTTCAGTGTATGGTGGACTAAAAGATAGAAACTAGAATACGGCAGCTATCCAGGTCACGTTAGGTTATAGCGGTTTTTCTAGTGAAATCACTTTTGTATGTGAACTTTTAAAGGACGTTTTGGTCGACTGTAAGTGAAAAAGATTGCTTTAATTAATCAGAGCTCAAAAGTCAATTGTTCAGATCATTCTGTCACTGGATACTGAACAAAATTCAATTTATAATAATCATATACAACAAGAAACATTAAACTACTTCCAAGCACATTGAATTTTAAAATTTTGGATTTACACTGACAATCGGTCATCATTACTCTCCACAGGTTACAACAAGAAGTAAAAACTCGAATGATTTGCAAGAGGGAAAACCTAGCGAGTCTTTTTATTTAAGTGGTAAATAGAATTGAGATAGATAATTATGTTACTTATTTTTATTTGCAGTTAAACATGTAGACAAAGGTAAATACAATGTTAGATTAAAACAAAGAAATACACGATCTGTCAGGTAATTAAATGTTCACCACTTCAGGAAATTGTGATTAAAGAATAGGTGTTATCTGATGAATCTAAAAAGTGGAAAATCAGTTAGTGATGACCGCTTTTAATTGTTAGAATTTTCTCAAAGAAATTGAAATACTGAAATCCGAAACTATACATTACTTCGAGAATCAGAACTATATTTAATTTTTGTCATTCGACATTATTCGTAGTATCATTTAAGTGCCAATGATGGCCTGCTTCCTGATTGATCTTTATCATTCACTTGAAGACTTTATGGTAGTTACTTCTTAAAATTTTACGCAGATCTGTAACCCTACAACCCAGGTTTTCCTAACTGTTCGTGTTATAGTTTCAGCTCGCATTTTTATCAGTTTGATTTATCTTTGTCTCTCCACCAATCCTTCTCGTTAAGTTTCTACTTCTCGATTCTTTTAGGTATGACTATTTAAGTAGACACACTCTAATGATACACTGCATGGAACTCTTCTTATTTTAGGAAGTGATTAAGCGGCAAAACCTAGGTTTTACGGAGTCTTTCAAGCTAACTCAAACCTATTGGAGAAATACAAGTATAAGAACCTATTGAAATCTTACGTAATAGACTCCGAATGATATGAATATGAGTCGCTGAATGGAAAGAAATCATGATGAAGCTAATGCATAACAATATCAAACCAATTTTGTAATAAATGGAACCTATTAGAGCTAGCAAAATACATATGCAAAAACGTCTAAGTTGGACGACAAAATTGTTGATAGTCTTCGATAATCCTTAGAACTTTTTACAGCAAAGTTCGCTGACATATCTCTACAATTTTGACCACCATACCCTATACTTCATAGCCAACCAATAATAGTTGTTTTAGTTCTTACAGTAATACCTCTACAGCCTCAAACGAAAACCCTCCTCAAAGAATAAAGATACACTGTAGTCTATTCTTGATGTTTGAGAATAGTATCCCAATCCCTGTACCGATGATACTCCTAAGAGGCTTGAAACAAATACTTTGTGGCAATAAAAATGTACGATAAAGATAAAAATAATCGTATTATTCGTATTTATCTGAATATTGTCAGTTGGTAGAGTCCTCACAAAATTATTTCGCACTTTATACGCACTAAAATAAGAGGTCATTCCTAATCATTAATGCGGAATATTCTTTGTACTCATCTCTAATAATAACACTGTCTTGCCTGATTAAAAAACATGTATACTTAAACATATTTGTGGACAAAGTTCAACGTGGGACAATTTAAGCCTTTTGTGGTGTAGATCAACCAGATATACGTTATTCCATACAACCTGTTGAGTGTTTTGTCACACTCCAATGTTAAGTTAGACGTCTGTTCAATTTTGTGGATATTACATCAATCCATCTAGTTTAAACACAGAAATTATGATGAGCTGAAAACAAGTGAACATCTCTATCATTTGAAAGTCCTTTTCTTTGTATCAATTTTTGCTTATAGTATCGACATGGTGCAAGTACTAATGCGACTTGTCAGCGATTTCAGTTTTGGAAAAACTATATTCTGCAAATTGTTTCTACACTAAATCATCGTATCCATCAACATAGCTAAAAATAGCACACAGCAGCTAACGATAAAATAAATTTAAAACAAAATCAAGCACTTGCTATAAGCCTTTAACAAAGTTGTTGTTGAAGAAAGATAGGGTGTGTAAGTGGTTAAGACTGAATACTGTTAAATAAAAGTATTATATTGACGTCAGCAGCATGCTAGTTATCCTTTATTTTTAATCCACTCCGTGTACCTTTAATGCACAGAATTACGTTCAGCATCATCAATCGACAAATCAATCGTCGTTCCTTTTTACTCATTTTCTGTCTTCAAAGAATTACCATATCAGTATGATTTACTGCCTGTGCTTAAACCAAGTAATCAATATCAATATTCTTTAAAGTTGGAAAGTACAACAAAATCATCAGTCTGCTGTCAAACTTTAGAATTGATTTCATTAATTACAGCTTAGGATCAAAGACTGCAATACATCAGAAGCGTGTCATCATTCGGGTCAACTTAACTGACAATATTTTCCTACAGTTTGACGGCAAAATGGCCTGAAATACCTTTTTTAGTAACATCAATTAACACTTCACTAGCCTGAAATTTTTATTAGATGGTTTAATACAAACTAATTTACGGAAAACCATAAAAAGATAAGATAATTGATGCTCAGCAAGTATTGTAATCCACTTTGTAGGCTTTTTCAAGGTACAGCAACGAGAAACCACAACTGAATATCGAAAGTCTAAGGTGTTACATAAGCTTATCATAAAAACCATTGCAATGAAGCCCCAAGTTAAGATATAAATCATTTGGGTACTCAGCCTGCACTTCCTTTATTGTTACTACTAAGTATATTGCTATAATAATGACATTAAACTCACCGTAACGCGTTTTTAAATCCAAATACACATGTACTTTGTGAATATAAAGTCTGGAATTTAGCTCGGTTAGTTGTTCAAAGACGACCGCAGCGTTCTTCTTTCATACAGACCAGGTCATCGATACCTAAAATTTCAGAAGAATCTCATATCAACTATGCATTTTGCATAAACCTTTAAAGTGTACCAAGTTGCTTTTAATAGTAGGTATCTGGGAATTCAAGGTATATCTTTAGTCCTCATTTGCTTGGAAAGAAGATTTCAATTTTTATACCTCCACAGTATTAGAAAACGATAAATTACCTAAATCGATATTAGTCTGGGTAAGCATAAGTACAACAAGTTGCCATAAATGAATGAGTTTTAAATCAAATAATTCAATATCTTAGTGATTTTACATATACGAAATAATGAAATCAGCACTAATTCTCAATCTAAACATACTAGAACCAAACGATAAAATGGTCTGTGACCTCAAGATAAATACAACCAAAAACCATAGGCTAGTAAGAGGTATTGATAACAAAAACCTTTATGTGGATTTGTTCCATAGTTGAAGAAATCTAAGTACAATTTCTAAAGTACGACGCAGAGAAAAGATCTCACTGAATTACAAAATAGCGGAAAATGATGTGACGACACGCTAGGAAATCATGTTTCCGTGAAAAAAGACAGATAAAACATTCGATAACCAACTCATTTATTTTGAAATTTGAAGAGGGTTTATCGTAGGTGTAACGAACTTCAAAAGGAATGTATGGAGGATGAAGAAAAGATTATCCAAGAAATAAGTGGGAAGAAATAACCCATTAATCATATCTGCTGTTTGAATGTAACACTCCGTAGCCACTCCTTTTTGTGTTGCACTGAGAATATTGTCGCAAATAAGAGTAACGGTTAAAACATAACAGCAGTTGTTAATATTTGAAATACAAAAAGCACATACTATAAAGAGATAAAGTGAAAACAAAAATGTTCCTTTACTTAGACTGTAACTATACCAAAAAATCGCCCTCTGGTCCTTAAAATAAAGCAACTACAGTATTTTTTGCGTTTTTATAGATCATGTTAGGCAGCTTAATCAAAGTACTTGTCATGACATGCACAGCCTATTAGTGACAAAAGTTTCAGGACAAGCCCATAGAGTTCACTACATGACCATGAATTCAAAATCTCACATCATAAGTATAAAACATAGTCAATCCAACCAATTTCGTTTGTAATGCGAAAAATAATATTCTAGACACATGATAATTTCACAAACATTCTCTAAGATCATTCATCAATATGAAAACTAGTTTATTAAATTTCTGTTCACGAAAACTCACATTTGTTTTAGGAGTCGCGCTGACAAAATACCTAATATTTCGGGGCATTAAAACAAACACGGCAGTTCGAAAAAACGATTGAAAATGACATGTAACATGAGATATGTCAGCCAATAAAACACCACATTTTATAATATGTTTGTACATAAATTTATCCCTTTATTGATTCTGTTAGAAGAACCCGAAATATATATGTCCTTAACACATGTTTACGTATTAGCAAATAAAGTAATATGACTACCATTTATATTGAGCACATTTGAATCGAAGGGCTGGAAAAATTTTACGACTGTCCTCCTTATAATGATACATAAGTACGCACATGATTTTTCATACACTACGTGTTTCTGTGTGCCTAATGGCCTACGATCATATTAGCTGGTAGAGCACTTTGGTTAGAGCAAGTTTGTAAGGCAAGAAAACAATACTTAAAATGGAAGTTTCCCCTCTGAAATATATAGTTCTTGAGTTACTTTCAGACGGTGTAGTGTTGAGCTTCAAGTAAAGTTAAATTATTCAGGTTCGCCGAACCACTCAGTATGTTGATTTAGTCAGCTTTTATCCTTCTATAGCAAATTAAGAGTGAAATCACATGATGAGCTCTGTCTATATCCTTTTAACGTGTTATCAGTAAACCTTTGAACTTATATCAGGTTATTAACATTTTAGTTAGATTATTATAACCTAAATTCCAACTCTAATCATTTCTTAATGAAAGGTTGATTGAAGGATTAGCAACCCTCAGGTAATCAACGCGGAAACCAAAATTCATAGTTGCAAATGGCTAAATGTCATTGAAAGGTTATGAATTGTCTAAACAGTCTTCGTATTATAGGCTTTCAGAGCGAAAATGAAGAATACCAAATCGAAGTTTAAGATCAAACATATGCATAAATCAAGTTCAGAAGTTGGACAAAGAAAACATACTAAAAGCTCTAGTTGTCAATCACCCAAGTACTTTAGGTTTTTCCCTTAACAAATGTGATGCACTTTTTTATGTGTTTCAAGATGTGGATATATGAAAGTTAAAAGAACCTCAAGAGTCAATAGAACGGATGGATTTTGACATTATCAGAGGGTTTATGAGATCTCTATTAACCCTGGCCAAGTCATTAATCAGTGGGTTACTGATTATTCATCGAGAAGCCAATTCACCTAGTAATCCTGTCAGGATAAGCCGGGTTAGGTATTAACTTCTATGTGTTAGTTAAATGTAAGCCAGTGGGCTGCACCGTTCCCATCCAACCACAACTTAGTACACACATATCGGTGAACTACAATTTTTTGTGAATTCCTCTGTCACCCTAACCACTGATGTCTATGTTCATTCACAACAAAGCCCAGAATACGTCACATGCTAGCCATTGATGATAAAAAAGACGGTAAGCGTTTATCTACAAATATTATAATTTCAGGATGTTGTACGCTCCAATCGTTCAGTAGCAATATGTTTCATCGAGCCGCTATTTACAGTTGACTTTATATAAAATAACCCTATACAGTTTATTGTCGTCTACGTACATAAAGACATATTCAATATGAATTTCGATGTGGTGATTAATAAATATGCAAAATCGTAGAATTCCCGGACCCCTGTGGTTAACGCCCCTCAAATTATACCCGTATTGATTTTGACAAGGAACTGTCACTTGTTTAGGCATTTCTTTGCTGAAAACTGGGTGTGTGATTCTATTTGATTTTAATAATGTCTGTGACCAGTGACATTACATCAAATCTCAATGGATCATTCAGGCAGTAAGTAAAATTGCATCACTGAGTTCACGACTGACTCCTCAGTCACACTGACGGCAGATAATGTAAAGTGATAGAATGACACGTGCCTCGCGCTTTCTCCAAAATGTGGCATCATCGCGGCTCGAGCCTATTCCACAGAAATGTTCATAGGACAACCAAAGTTGTTCGGCATAGTCGGGTGGAGAGATATGCTTACATTATAAGGGGAGATGTAGTATAAAAATTCCACCAAGTATACGGAAGAGGTGTCTTTCACGAAGCGTTGAGACGTACTCTGGTGACAACGCTCATACATTCGCTTACTTATCCTCTACTCCATGCGCCACTAAGTCAATGAACTTGATAGAAATAAACAACTATCATAACTAATTTCCAGTGATTTGCTACTTTGCGTCCGTTCATAAGAATAAGTTTACTTGAACTTCAAGTTAATATGTAAATGATCACGCGGGAGCAGACGATGAAAACTTTTTGACATTCCCCTTGTCAGTCGTTCGAAAATCAAATAATAGATCAAATAATTTTTTGGCAAATAAAAAATTACGTGATTCTCTACACAATGAGATTATTGATAACAATATATTACGAATTCGTCTCAAACACGATTTTGTCATATTGCAGCTCCCGTATGTTTTGAAGGCCCAAATAAAGTGGGAAAAATAAAAAGCGGACACAATATGCATGTTGATTAATACCAATGTACCTAAAAGTATGTGCTTCACTTTTCAGTAACATGCTACTATATTCACGAACCATCGACGACTTCAGTCTCGTGATTTCTTAATGATCTCTACAGTATAATTAATTCGGGATTAGAATACGATTCGGGCACTATCTTTCCCGCCCCCAAAGTCGAAGCGTCAATAATATAAATGATACTCACAAACGTGAATGCTGACCCCCACTTGTAACACTGGTGTGGATACTCCTACCACCATAAGCTGGAAATCAGCTCATTCTTGTTCACTACACTTGCTTACAACCCTTATGATGGTAATTTGTAATAACCATTAGAAATAAAAAACATTCAACTCATATGTGCTAAATGAAAACATGCTATGCAAATTCCTGCATTTTTCATTAAAAAGACGATATAACCTATACTAAGCGCTATGAAATCCACTCCATAAACTGGCACTGAAACTTAAGAAACCAATATTAATTTATGGAACTTATGAGAATAATGCCACTTCGAATTGTCAGACTTCATATCAACACAACGGAAACAGTGACCAACGAATTGGGGAGCCATAGAAATAAGTGTCACTTAAAATGGAAAAGTAAACATGATGGTCGCCTAATATCGCTGATAAATTTAAGTTGGAAATGTATATCACTGAATGCCAACTATATAACCTAACGGTTAAGGGCCTGCCGACATACCCCATTGATATGAGTCTGACACTTAATGGGGTTATGAATGCACATCCCTTATAAGTCCCACACTAGGGTGAAACAGCCATCTGTTGCCTCCTGGCTTTCAGGTTTCAAACTTAGAATGATAAGTACTACTCAAATTGAATAAATTATGAAGAACGAAATGTTGGGAGTGATATTAAACTCAACATTTGGAGGCGGGTGGTCAAGACAATTAAGCCACTTGACGGTAAAGTAGAACTCCCATAGGTTATTGAAACTGCTAACATCTGCTATGAGTCACAAAATAAGGAAAAATGCAAGCGCCTTGCAACAAGGATGTTTTCAGCGTATTTATATAAATAAATCGTTACATGAACATGCACATTATTCAATAAAGCCACACTAACCCTATAAATGCAGGATCCCGACAATAGCTGGTCCAACTTAGGGACAGCTTGTTTAGACCACCTATGAGTATTATACCTATTCAGGCACCTAATACTCATAACGTTTTATTACTAAGAGTAGTAAAATAGTATCTTGCGAACTAGTTCCAGATCTTCAATTACCTGCAGTGGGATTACTGTACTTGAAAGCTAAACAATCATCTTTGAAATACCATTTCGATAGGACAGTAATTACTCGTTTTTCGATAACCAAAGCATAGCTACGAAGAAATATGAGTAGACAGGAGCTATGTGACAAAGACTTTAAAAAGTTGATAGTAAACTGACAAAGTTAAAAATAGCATGAATTAAGGATTTCTTGTATAGCTCACAAAATAAGTCAAACAACATAATAACGCAAACAGGATTATTATTATCACTATTATTATCGTTATTATTATACACTAACAACGTAAAACATGGATGGATAGTGACAAAAAACACAACGTTGCATCACCAATGATTTTACACTCAAAATATTTTACATTCATCTACCTTTGAACCTTAATACTGCATAAGTTTTAATATCAGTACTTCAGTTTATATTCGTTGGTGTATAACATGATATACAGGGTTTCCTAATTAATATAAAATAATCATGTTCTTTTCCTGTCAAATTCATAATAAAAGCAAATAAAGCAGAAAATTTATAAACTGGTTTATGAGAGAATAAAATTGAACAAAAAAGACTACCATTTAAAAACTGAATGATGAATACAGATTATCTTTAAGAAAAATCACACGGTAATCAAGAAAAGTAAATGCATTTTGCCTCTTGCAACAAAATAATAATGCAGCATAAAAAAGAAATGACTAGTTAACGGATGCATACAGATTCATTCATAAATAAATTCTTTTTCTCTTATTGAATATCACCATATCGAGTATATAATGTATATAATAAACGTAATGTTGCCTTTAAATCGTGACGTAATACACTTTCAGGTTGATTATATTCTAAGTCAATACCTTCAACATCATGAGCCAATTGAAAGGCAACTTGAAGATTAGCCAACTTTTGAGCATCTGTTGTTGGTGTGATATGATAAGCATGCAGTGGAACAAAATAGTTGCCAAGTAAACCAAGTAATAAAATGAAGTAGACACCATCACTCATCTTTGAAAAAAAGTATTTAAAAAAGAGGATAGATAGAAAATCAATGAAATTGAAACAAACCAACGTTAATTATCAAAATAGATTAAAAAGGAAATCACGTAAAATTTAGTTTATTGACTTTTATTCCTGGAATATTGTCGTATGACAATAATATGGATTTTACTCATGAAAAAGATAGTTGAAAACCGGAAAGTTCTGGACAGATACTTTTTGTTCTAAGTAAAATACTGTCAAATGATACATACCTAAAACATTTAAGGTAAGACACAAGTAAATTAACGATATATTCAAACTTAATCAATTTCAATGCAATTAAGTGATAATTTTTGGTAGTAATACT